GGCTAGTCTCTAGGAAGAATTTTTTTTTTTTTGTCTTTTTCCTTTTTATCGGTACCGGGGATCGAAGATTTTGTTTTTGTACCAAGGATCCAGAGCTTGCCAGGCAGATGCTTATACTACTGAGCTAAATCCCCAGCCCCTCTTCTAGGAAGATTAACAAAGACATCCAAATAATAAGTGAACACCACACACTATTCTGTACACATAAATTTAACAACTTCAGCTGGTAATGGTGGTATATTCCTGTGATCCTCCCAGCTACTTGGCAGACTGAGTTGGGAGGACTGCAAATTTGAAGCCTGCCTAAGGAATGCAGCAATATGATGTATCAAATAAAAAAAAAAAAAACAAAGGACTGGATGTGGTGGCACATCCCTGTAGCCCCAGTACTCCAGAGGCCAGCCTGAGCTACATAGTGAGTTCAAGGTCAACCTGAATTAAATAACAAGACCTCCTCTCAAAAAACAAAAATAAATAAGTAAATAAGTAAATAAACTGGGCTGCAGCTGTAGCTCAGTGCTGGAGCACCCCAATACCAGCAATAACAACTTGAACAAAATGGACCACACCTTAAAACACATGAACTACCACAACTCACTCAGTGTGAAAAAAATAATTTGAGTAGCCCTATAATTATTAGGGAAAGTGACTTTGTAATTTAAAATTCTCAAGAAAGAAATGTTTAAGCCTAGATAGTTTCACTGGAGAATTTTTATTAAAGATTTGTCATTTTCTTCTTTTTAGTACTGGGTGTTTGAAGTTAGGGCTTTGGGTATGATAGATAAATTACATCTTCTCCCCTGCTCTTTTGAGATAGAGTCTCACTAAATTGCTCAGGCTGGCCTTGAACTTGTAGCCCTTTTACTTCAGTTTCCCAAACAGCTGGGATTATAAGTGTGTGCCACCATGCCCAGTGTGGTGGATCAACTAATGGTCAATTCGGAACACCCAGCTAAACTGAATCACTGTGGTTCTAGGTGTGTATGGCCCACCTAAGGACTGTTGCCAAAAGCATAAAAGAGGTGAAGATGGTGTGCTGTTGATTCTTCTGGAGAAGCTTGTCACACAGGTTTTCCTGATACGAACTCAGCTGGGGTCCCTGCAGTCACTGAGGATGGCTATAGTTCTCTTCAGGGGAACTCTGGTCTTTATTGTGAGCATTGCTTCTTGATTCCAGTGCGAATTCCTCAGCCTGTTGGCACAGATCCTTCAGCCTGCTGACACAGCCTTTCTAGTTTACACTATTGATCTTTTGGCCTTCCCAGTACAGATCCTTGATACAGGCTTGCATGAGACATTGTCATAGACTCTAGGGCTCCAGCTGGACTTGAGGTGGGCATGCCATGGGCTCTAGGTCTTCAGTTGGACTCATGTAGGACATTGCTGTGGATCTGGCCCTCACATGGATCTCTATTGTGTGGACAGATCTCTAACACTATTTTGCATTTGATTATTTGGGTGAGTATCAGAAAGAAATCCTATATATTATGTATCCTGTATTGAATCCACTCCCTTGTAAACACTGTGGTCACCAACCAAAGATACTAAAACTTGACAGAATCAGTACAAAGAAAGAAAACTTTAGACTAATATCCCTCATGAATATAGAAGTAAAAATCCTTAAGCAGGTACTAGAAATAGAATTAAGCAATAACAGAAGGAATTGCAGCCAGGTGTAGCAATACCCTCCTATAATTCTAGCACTTTAGGAGGCTAAGGAAGGAGGATTTCACGTTCAAGCCCAGCCTGGGCAATTTAGTAAGTGCTGTCTCGAAAATGAATGAATGAATGAATGTACTGGGGATGTCGCCCTGGCTTCAAGTCACTTGTAGGAAAGTTGATATGCCTTGATATGATAATGTTAAGCAAAATAAAACAGACACACAAGCACAAATATTGTACGATTTCTTTCATATGAGGAGCCCCAAACATAAATAATTTAAAGATAGATGTTATGAAATAGGGAGACCAATGCTCTGAAAATGGGAAGGGGAACTACAGCCAGAGGCAAAGGGAGAGTTACTGGAAGAGGTTAAGATATGTTATGTACATGTACCAACTCCCCATGATGAAGGCAATGCAAACATGTACTAATAAACTTTAACAAAGTATACAGCAATTCAGTATTTGTTCATGATTTAAAAACAATACTCAGAAAAACAGGAATTGCCATGTATGGTGGTACAGGCTTGTAATCCCAGCACTTAGGAGGCTGAGGCAGGAGGAATACTAAGGGGATCAGGGCCAGTTTGCACTACATCGTGACTTCAGGGTTACCCTGAACTGCACAGTGAGATTCTGTGTAAAAAAATGAAAAAAAAAAGAGGAAAAAAATAGGAATAGAAAGGTACTCTCTCAAATTGGTAAAGTTTTCTATAAAAACTGTACCTAACATATTAAGTGGTGAAAGACTGCATATTTTTCTTCTAATATCAGAAGAAAGACAAGAATGTCTGCTTTCATAGTTCTGGTACTTTTTTTTTTTTGACACAGGGTCTTGCTCTGTTGCTCAGACTGGTCTCAAACTGTTGGGGTCAAGCAATCCTCTTGCCTCAGCCTCCTTAATAGCTGGGACAACAGGGGCAAGTCATGGCACCCTACTTGCTCTCATCATTCTTATTCAACATAGTGAAAAATAACTTTATTCAACACAATAGGATAAGGAAAGAAAATAAAAGGCACACAGATCAGAATGGAAAAAAAAATCTCTGTTTGGAGCAACATAACTGGCTACATAGGAAATCCAAAATAGCTATAAAAAATCAATCAGTCAGACAACCCAAATTATTAGAAAGGTGAGTTCAGCAAGAGCAATCAGTTAGCAGCCTACAAGAGACACAGAAACCAACTGTACTTCAATATACTAGCAATAAACACATGGACATCAATGAGAAATAAAAATAAAAAACATCACTTATAATCACAAGAAGAAGGAAGACTAGAAAAAAAGGAAGGCAGAGAAATGAGGAAGGGGGAGAAAGACGGACTTAGGTATAAATCCAACAAAGCATGTAAGGGTTTTGTGACCATTAATCCCGACATGTTGTCTTCACTGAATTAAGAAATACCTAATAAATCAGCAACAGCACATGCGTGGGTGTGTCTGGGGAGGTGTGGCCTTGGGTGTCCTGTGGTCCCTTGTCCGTTATATTTGTGGCACTGTTTACCTGCTCTGCTTCCCAGCCACCATGAACTGAGCAGCTTTACTCCAGCACGTGCTTCTGCCATGATATTTGTCTTACAACCAACCATGAACTGAATCTCCTGTGTGCCAAACCTGTGAGCCAAATTAAACCTCTCGTCCAAATTTTAGGAATTAGGCACTGTGTCCTAGAACCAGGAAAACTGACTAATTTGTATGCTGAAAACTGCAGAATGCTAATGATGGTAATCAAGGAAGAGCTAAATTAATGGAGAAACATATTTGTAGATTGGAGGAATCAATATAGCAAAACTGTTAATTCCTCTAAAATTGCCTTTTTTTGTTACTGGGAATCAAACTCAGGACCTTGTGCTTGCCAACAGGTGCTTTACTGCTGAACTATATCCCTGCTCCCTGATATACTTTTTTTAAGGCAGGGTCTTGATATATAGTTCAGCCTGGGCTTGAAGTCACTATGCAGCTCAAGCTGGTTTCAAACTCATGGCAATTCTCCTGCCTCAGCGTTTCAAGTGCTAGGATTATAGGTGTGCATCATTACATTTGTCTGCCATATATTTAATGCAATACTTACCAAAGTCCCTGCAAAAATTCTTTTGTAGATGTGAACCATTCTGAAGAAAGATAATAAAGTAGGAAGAATTAGTGTATCTGATTTCAAGACTTATCACACAGCTACAGTATTTAAGATCATGTGTCATTGGCAGATGGACAGAAGGACACTCTGAAAGGCTGAGGCAGGAGGATTGCAAGTTCAAGTCCATCCTGGGCAATTTAACAATGTAATTAAAATGTCAATTAATGAAGAAATAAATTTAAAGAGGTTAGGGATGCAGTTCAGCGTGAAGACCCTGAAAAAAAAATAGGAAGAGCTAGAAATGGTATAAAAATTTTTTTTTGTACTAGGAATTGAAATCAGGACCTCACATTTGCCAGGTACGTATGCACTGTTCTCCTGAGCTACATCTCTGGCCCAATATAAGAATTTTTATCCACTGTTGGTAGCAGTATAGATTTTTTTTTTCTTTGTCTTTTTGAGACAGGTTCTCACTTGTAGTTCAGGCTGGTCTTGAACTTGCAATGATGATCCTCCTGCCTTATTAGCATCCTGAGTGCTGGGATTACAGGAGTGTGTCACCACACCTGACAGTAGCAGTATAGATTGAGGCACCTTGTTTTTTTGTTTTGTTTTGTTTTTGAGACAGATCCTTGCTTTGTAGTTCAGGCTGGCCTTGAACTCACTATGTAGCACAGTGAGCCTTCTATCTCAGCCTCTCAAGTGCTGGGATTACAGGTGTATGCCACCATGCCCAGCCAAAGGCAACCACTTTGTTACCTTTCTCTCTTTTTTTTTTTTTTGTCTTTTTCATTTTTATTGGTACCGGGGATCGAACTCACGACCGCCTGCTTGCAAGGCAGGTACTTATGCCGCTGAGCTAAATCCCCAGTAAGGCAACCACTTTGGAGCTGGCCATGTTGGCAGGAGGAGTATAAACCCAGCTTGGACAATTTTGTGAGATTCTGTCTCAGAAAATAGAAAGTAAAAAACGAGCTGATATATAATTCATATGAATGACCTAGGTTCAATCCCCACTACAGGAGAAAAATAAAACAAAGAATGTCAGGGTGGTTGTCCATAGCAGCAAAAATCTGGAACAACCTAGTGTTCATCAATAATAGAATTGATGAATTGTTGTACATTTATTCAGTATACTACATATAGATGAAAATAAATTGAGCTGCAGGTACAGCATCATACAATGACCCTCAAAAAATGTTGAGAAAAGTAAGTGCCATAATATATACAGTATAATTTTGTTTACTCAAAGGCACAAAACAATCAAAGTGAAAACATTTTTTTATTTAGGGATAGGCATATAGATAGTAGAACTCATGGAGAAAGCAATAGAATAATTAAGACAAAACTCAGTGTAGTGCTAAATCTGGGACTGGGAAGGAGCATGTGATTGAGTAGGGAAACAGGTGACTTTTGAGGTAAGGCACTGTTTTATTCCCTGGATACCTGAATCATCTGGATATAAGCGGTCAAAAAAGCCATAAGTGTAGGTCAGATGTCTCAGGAAGGGGTAAAAGGAACATTAAGCCATTGTGCTGGGTGTAGCAGTGTGCATCTGTTGTCCCTTCCACTTGGGATCCTGAGGCAGGAGAATCACTTCAACCAAAGGAGTTTGAAGCCAGCTTGGTCAACAGTGAGGCCCTGTCTTGAAAACAAACAAACAGGTAAACAAACAAAACATTAATCTCAAGGCTTTGGAAGAAGTTTCTAAGGTCAGAGGAAGAAATGTGGAGGTAGTAAGTAAAGCAAAAGCCACGATGTGGGTTTGAATGCAGGCTGGGGCACATAGTTGGGTTCAGCCAGGCTCTTTGATGACTTTAGCTGGGGCAGTTTCAGTGAAGACCTGCAATTGAAGGTTACACAGCTGAACACTGCATAGGAGGATGAAGACACACTAACTCAGAATGGGAACTCTGAAGAAGTTGGAGGAAGGTGCTGAAGGATGGAGGTGGAAGGAGGAATGGAGAGGGTAAGTGTGGTCTGAGAAAGACAGAAAATTTTTGATAATGTTAAAAGGTTTAATGCTGATGGGAGGGTAAATGGAAAAACCACCTTGGAAGTCAATTGGCAATATCAGGGAAAGCCAAAGATGCACCTCTAGTGCAGAAATTTCACTCCAGGTATACCGAGTAAATCACTCATGAGCATCAGGAGACAAGTACGACAGTCCACTGCTCTATGTATGTAATAGTGACTGCCTACAGCTTGAACAAAGAAGAGAACAGAAAAATCACGGTGCTGTCTCTACACAATGAGATACTGCAGGCAGCAAAAATGAAACTCTGAAGCTATATGCATTATTCTTGCAAATACGCTGATTAACAAACTGCAGGAGGATAGGTATGGTTGATACCATTTTGACAAAAGTTTAAACAGAAAGAATTCTAGATTGTTTAACGACATATGTATTTGCATACAAATTTACCTAATCTCACAATGGTGGTTACTGTCTCCAGGCTAGATCTGAGAGTCTGCAGGTTTGCTGACTCTAACTGTGGAAAAGAATTTTCAGGACGGGGCAGTAAGAGGCACAGAGAGATTTTAGGATGCATTCAAGAGTGGAATGTGGGCACTCAGAGAAATGAGACATTATTTCCTGGGGCAGGAAACATTTATACTTTTCTTGAACAGGTGGTAACCCAGGAAAAAGGTGGTCCCCAGAAGGGTGGTAGCTCATTCTACAGGTAGGGGCCTGTTTTGTTGTTTTTTAAATAGGTCATTTAAACATTTTTTGGATTCTCTAAATCTGTTCCTTTATCTTAGGATCAGGCTCTTTACTTTTCAATTAATCCAATATATGGATTGCAGTATTCCTGAGGAATTTGAGGTATGATGGGATTGGATGGAAAGGAGTCTGAATTTAACCAAGGGAATGAAAACATGGTTGTTCTTGAGTGACTTTGACACCCAAAAGTTGCAGTCTTCTTAAAAGTACAATTTTTACTTAGGATTTGTTTGTCTCTTGTCTTTTATTTCTTCTATCTTACCTCAGTTACTTGGGGAAGGGGCAGGTCTGAGATGTGTGACACAATGCAACTTTATTCACACTCTGCGGTAGGCATTATTTGTGTGTGTGTGTGTGTGTGTGTGTGTGTGTGTGTGTGTAGTTACTAGGTATTTAACCTAGGGCCTTTGAACGGGGCTACATCCCCAGCTCTTTTAAAATTTTGAAACAGTGTCTCACTAAGCCCACAAGTTGCTCGGGTTCGGCTCGCATTTGCGATTTTCCTGTGTAGCTTACCCACGAGGAAGTTGAGGTTCAAGGAAGTGAACTAGCTGGAATTTCAAAGCTCAGCTTGGTCCTGACAACGGGTTCACTGAGTGAGCGAAGGCCTTTGGCGTCCTCGCAGGTGTCTCCTACACTCTCTTCGCAAGGGTGTCACAGGTCCAATAGGCGCCTAGACACAATCCGCCCTCTTCCCGGTAAGGGTCGAAGTCCATTCCGGTCCCGCCCCACGCATCGGGCCCCGCCCCCACACCTCAGCCCCCGCCGCAGGACTCATGAATATGCAAGCAACAGGAACATATTTAAAGACGCCGGTGGCACGCTCTGATTCCTGCACCACGCCGCCCACCCACCCGGTACCATTCCTTATTCTGAGGTTTGGCCTCTTTCGCCCGAGTCCATCACTGTGTGCGGAAGTGTCGCCAGCATGTCTGACAAACTGCCCTACAAAGTCGGTGAGTTCCAAGACGCGCAGCTATGGCGGTTCCTGTGCACCTGCCTCAGGCTTGCTGCGGGGTGGTGGGTGTCCGCGTGGCCCGAGGTTTGTTGGGGGTGGCAGCCGCGGGGCTACCCCTCGGCGCCCAGAACCCCTAAAATCGCAGGCATGGCGCGTTGCTGGGCGCGCGGGGCCGCTTGGGGGCTGGAGTTCGTAAGCCGCGATCAGGCGGCCGTGGGACGCGCTTACGGACTACGAATCCCGGCGTGCCCCGCGCCCTTCGGTGCCGCTGCGCGGGCTGCGAGACGCGGGCTGGTGGCGTGCTCATGAGTCTGCTGGGTGGGATGGAGGCGCACGTGCCCGCGGCCCGGAACAGTCCGCCCTGGCTAACCCTGCGCTAGGATCCCAGCGCTTCTTGCTGGCAGACTGGGTGGTCGCGGTCAAGAGCGGACTGCTCTCTGGGCCTCCTATAGGGCAGGCATGGGCACAGGCGCTCACCAGAGTGTGTGAAAAAAGGCCTGGAAAGGGAGCCCAATGCGGGCACTGGTCTGCACTTTGTGGGGACTTTGAGCAGGTTACTCAACTTGTACGGTCACCCACCCGGCCAACAGGGACAATCGTGCAGAAAAGCTCAAAAAAAAAAAAAAAAAATTGGGAGTAGTTAGTTCTTTCCTGCTGTTTCTCGGATGGAAGGCCACAAGTAAACGTTCATTGAACATTTATTGTGGGATGGGCACTACTTTCTGCTAACTCACTTTATTGTTACTGCGATTCAGGGTGGAACTGTTCTCACAGTGAAAATTCTGAGGTGTTCTGATAGTAAGAGATGGAGCAGGATTTGGATCCAGGGCATGTAGACCTCTGAGTGCACCTGCACACCGTTATGTACAAGTGAACACTGGGAACCTCGCAAAAGAATTTTCAGTAAAGAGCCAGTTGAGACTGGCTAGCAGCTTTTAAAGTAAAGAAGACTCCATTAACCAAAAGAAAGGACACGAGTGTTTATGGAATTCTTGATCTGTATCTGGTGCTTCGTGTGTGTTTACAGAATGATCTTTTTGGATGTTGGCATTATTCCCTTATAGAGGTAAAGGTTGAGGAAAAGGTTTGCAGATTCTTGCTCAAGTAGCTCATTAGGCAGCCACCAGAGTAGCCTATTGATATTGTTGGGTGGATAAGAAACTAAAACTAGTTAAGATGAAGGACTGAAATGGGGACTAGTCATACTATGGAGAGGTATGTTAGGGTTCGGGGTGATGATTTTTGTGGGTGGAGATGAAGATTGGGAATGGGGGACCTTGGCTATGTAAGGATAGAGGAAAGGAGCTTCCATCAGCTAGAGCACATGCAGTGTGCTATCCCTTGCCCATTTGGCATCTTCGGTCACCCTCAGGACACAGCAAAATTAGGGGTGAATATCCTCACTCCACAGGTAAAGAAACTTGAAGTTTAGAGAAGATCTTACGTTGCTTTTAGCCTGTTCTTGATAGTTATTCCTGAGCCTTCTGCAAGTCCTTGGCTCCCCCTGGGTATCAATCAAAGTCCCAGAGCTTGAAAGTTTGGGAGGTGGCACAGCTGCCACCAGTGCATTGAAAAAGTTATTTTAGCTGACGGGACAGATGGTAGTTGAAGGGGTGGAGCTTTGAAGGATTGTACAGTATGCTTTGTTCCCTAAGCAGGACCTTGAGAAGGGGCTACACCAAGTCCTGCCTGGCCAGTCCTACCTCTTGTCATTGAATGGCTGTCACACTTGGGGCAAACCCTGCTCTAGGTCTTTTCCTCATTATTATTATTATTTTTATTGTTTTTTGTTTTGAGACAAGGTCTCTCTGTAGTTGTGGTAGGCCATGAACTGTGTAGCCCAGTATATCCTTGAACCCAGTCCTTCCATCTCAGCTCTCAAGTGCTGAGATTATAGGGATTATATCCTTGTTGGTAAATGCTGGGAAGTGGATTTGGTTCAGGTTTGTTTGTTTGTTGCTACTCCTGTCCTATGCCAGCTCTCTGTGGATCTCCTTATTCAGTTGTAACAGATCTGTTGGCCCTTTTTTTTGTGCTAGACCCTGCTGGGCACTGGAAATACAAAGGTGATCCAATAATGGGGTAGGACAGCCATGTATACAGAGAGTGTGTTTATTGTCTACATTTTATGAGAGGAGATCTGTTACTTTCCTTCACAGCCGCTGCCTGCTTCTGGTCTCTTTCCTGAAAGGTCTCTCTGAGTCTTTTTTTTTTGTGTCTTTTTCATTTTTATCGGTACCAGGGATCGAACTCATGACTGCCTGCTTGCAAGACAGGTGCTTATGCCACTGAGCTAAATCCCCAGCCCCGTCTCTCTGAGTCTTGCTCCACAGATCCATACAGTGGCTAATGAGGCCTTTTAAAAGAAAAATGTGCTCCCTTGAAGCTCTTACAGGCTTTCCAGGAGTAAAACCCTGATTCATCTTACTCTCTCCATTTGGCCCATTCTCTGTTCCTCTAGCAGAACTATACCAAATTCTTTCCTGTTTCCAGATTACTTATGGTACTGGGGATTGAACCAGGGCCTTTTTACTGACCTATTGCCTCACTTTTTTTTTTTTTTTTTAAGTTTTGAGATAGGGTCTCACTAAGTTGCTAAGTTTCCTAAGCTGGTGTCAAGCTCCCCCCCCCCCATCTTTTTGGGATGGGGGTCTCACTATGCAGTTTAGGCTGGCCTTGAGTTCACTTTGTAGCTCAGGCTGGTCTCGAACTCACAATGATCCTCTTGCCTCAACCACCCGAGTGCTGGGATTACAGGCATATGCCACCATGCCTGGCTTTTTTTTTTTTTTTTTTTTTTTTTGAGACAGGTTCTCACTGTATAGTTCAGGCTGGCCTTGAAATCACTATACAGTTGAGGCTGGCTTTGTACCTACAGCAGTCCTCCTGTTTCAGCCTCCTGAGTGCTGGTATTATAGGTGTGCACCACCATGCCTGGCCTGGTGTCAATTTTGAATCCTCCTAACTCAGTCTTTCAGAATGTTGGGGTTACATATGTGCACTACCATGCCCCATCTGTTTCCATGTTTTTTTGAGTATCTTTTGAGTGCCAGCTGCTGTGTTAGATACTGTATGTGGGGGAAGAGCCCTCCAGGCTAAGGACTTCTTGGGTTAAATCTCTGAGATAGGAATGACTTTAGCTTTTTAGAAGAGTTACTGTAGGAGGTCTAGAACAGAGGGAGGGGGAGAAGAAGGTGGAGGTGTGTCGATGTCCGCTCCCCGCGGCTCCTTCCGTGCTTCACTCCGCGGCTCCTTCCGTGCTTCAGTCTCTCTACAGTCTGTCCCGAAGCCTCTACCGGTCCGCTCCCCGCGGCTCCCTCCGTGCTTCAGTCTCTCCCGAAGCCTCTACCGGTCCGCTCCCCGCGGCTCCTTTTGTGCTTCAGTCTCTCTCGGGGGTGGAGGCACTGGCTATATATAGGATTAATAGCTAGGCAGACTACCCTGTGAGGCGGGAACTTAGTGGGGTGATAAGAAACAGGTGCCACACAGGCGGGCTCGATGAGAGGGGTAATCTAGCTCAGGCTTCAGTTGTACTTTCCCACAGGCCTCGCAATCACCGCGTCTGATGACTTGACAGTGCCACGGCTCCCAACATCGGTGGCACAGTGGGATCCCACTGCCAGTTGAGGAGTTAGAGGAGGTCATTAGAGGCTATCCTGTAATGTTTACTTTAGTAGAACTGTGGAGGTGATAGAACTTAATTTTTTTTTTTATTGGTACTGGGGATCGAACTCATGACCGCCTGCTTGCAAGGCAGGTGCTTATGCCACTGAGCTAAATCTCCAGGCCCTAGAACTTAAATTTTTAAAACCTCTCCTTTTGGCTGCTATGGAGAGCATCCAGTTGAGATGGTGCCTGGGTTGTTTATATATTTAGGTGTTGACCCAGGAACAGCTAATGGAGATGAAAACAGCAATGAGAAGTCAACAGATCTTACAAGTTTCTGGCCAGAGTATCTCGTTGTTGGTTTCATTTCCTAAAGTAGAGGCTTAAGGTTGTGTGGCTAAAGATTTTGATAGCTCATACTTGATGCATAGTAGATCCAGTTGCACATTTGAGCAGAGATGCTGAGTAGGCATGTGGAGTCCAATGATGATGAACCTTTTAGAGCTTTCAGTGGTACAAAGAGCCCACTGTGGTGCACGTGCCATAGGTTCGCCACCACTGGCTTAGAAAAGTCTCAAGTTCAGAGACATTTGGGCTAGTGATACATATGCAGTTGCCATAACCGTAGAGTAGGTTTCAGAACCAGAAGACTGGATGAACTTATCTGGTAAGAGTTAGAGAAGTGGGAGATGTGAAGCCCTGAGGGTTCCCAAACCTAAATCTGTTCAGTGAAGAAGAGCCAGGAAGGTAAAAAGAAGAGACAGAAGCCAAGTAAAAGCCAGTCATGGTAACACGTGTGTAATTCCAGCATTTAGAGAAGGTTGTGAGGCAGGATTGTGTGGTAAGTTGGAGGCTAGCTGGGCCATACAGTGAGACTGTATTTCAAAAAAACCCAAACAAGTAGCCAGGCATAGCAGTGCACGCCTGTAATCCCAGCATTTGGGAGGTTGAGGCAGGAGGATTGCTGCAAGTTTGATATCAGCTTGGGCTGCATAGTTCAAGGCCAATTTCAACTATATAGAGAGAGCCCACTGTCAAAGAACAAAACAGCAAGTACAAAAAAGCCAAACCAAACCAAAAAGCCAACTAAAGAAAGGGTTTCAGAAATGGAGGAATAAGTGAAGTTGGAGAGTTGGTGCTGCTGGGAAAAACACAATATGGGTCATTGAATATCAGATGGGGGGTCAGGCTGATCTGATACCTTGAGAAGGGCAGTTTCAGTGGAGTAGTAAGGTCCTGAGGGAGGTGAGTTGGGAGAGGGGAGAGTCATTTGTTGTAACAGAAAAGAATACTGCCAGTCTCTAACTACAGATGGGGACCGTGGGTTCCTTGGAGGAAAAGTAGCATTGTTCTGAATTCTGAAAGAACTATAGAGTGAGGTTGTTAGTCAATGGAGAAAGGTATTAAAGGTTTGGGAAAGGTGGAAAAGGAGAGTAAATACACTAGGAGAATGTGCAGGGCTACTGGAATTTGCTAGGTGTCCACTGGTCACCTATGGTCTTCATAAATAAGACCATTGGTATGGTTGTTTTTCTTTTCCTGTTGGGTTCTATGGCTTAGGTGCAATGGAGGTTTTAACTAGGGTGGGTGTTTTGCCAAGTGAATTCTCAGAGGGAAAGAGCACAGAGGAGATAGGCATTGGAATTGTAAATTATGGAAGGAAAGGAGGAAGGCTGAGACCATGCAGAGTGAAGGACTATGGAAATTGATAGGAACAGTGAATTGGAGGTTCTGACCTGAGTGGCTGCAGTTTTAGAGGGAAAGCACTGGAAAGGTGAATAGGGTCAACTCCTTCCTTGAAATCCAGATTTCCAAAGGAGAAGCTGTTGATGGCCTACCAGGGTGGGTGGAAGGGGTTGTAGGAAGGAGGAGTTGTGTTAGGGGCAACAAAAGGAATTCTTTCCATGGGGATGAGGAATTTCATATTTGAAATTACTTATTTTGGTGCTGGAGATTGAACCCAGGGCCTTGCATGTGCTGGGCCCTGGCTCCTATATCCCTAGTCTCTCTGAAATTTTTAGACATACTGTAGGAAATAGACTGACTTTTATTGTTTATTATTAAATTCTCTTGGAGTCCTTTCCCGATAATCCCCATCTTGTTGGGTGACTGGGAAGGATTTAAGCTTACCAAAAGATAAAAGCCACCAGAAGACCTTGTTAGACCTATTAAATTTTATTTTCCAGAGAAGATTTAAAAGCATACCAGATGACTTTTCTCATCAGGATGTTTGCAAATATTGACCCATATATGACCTTGGGAATGGGCCAGTGGGGGTTGTATGTGAGATAATTAGAAGGAAAAGTATTGAGATAGTGAAAGAGCTTAGAGCAGAGTTTTTTCCTGCCTGAGAACTTGGACAACTTTGAGATATTTGGGGCATCAGTGAAAGATCAAAGTAGGCCTTTTGTTACTAATAGCATCAGAGCCAGAGGATGTAGCTTAATGTGAATACCAAATGATTGTTCTAACTGTTCTAACCCTCAAATTCAGCAGTTACCCACCAGTTAGGGGAAAAGCAGCTGAGAATACCTAATTTCTGCACATGGGCAGGAATTGTTTCCAGAAGCAGAGGGAGCTAAACTGAGTATGCCAGTTTATTCCTCTCAAATTTACTAATCAGACAAGCCACCCCAGCTCCCCTGGAGTGGAACATGAGTTATACTGATGAGTTCCTGCCATGTGGAGTACGAAAGAAGCTTTTTCACATTGTGAAAAGAGATCAAGGAACTGTCAAGTTCAAAATGTTGAATAATGTTTATGTGGGTTGAATTGCTGAGTGTTGACTTGCGAGGAAAGATGAGAGCCAGGAGCTAAACATCTTGAGGGATTGAGGAGTGATTTGGAGGCGGGTGGTAATAGAAAGGAAGGGCAGTTGGAAGGAGAGGCATAGTCAGAGCTGTTTCCCTAAGGGGTAATTCTCTGTGTTGTAATTTTTATGTAGTTGTGTAAGTTTGATTCAGTGTGTTCTTTCATAAGATGGTAAGCTACAGTTAGTCAGGGACCATGTCTTTCTTTTTCGACTACCCTAGTTCAGTGCAGAGTTATTGCCTGATTGAGGGAACAAGGTGTTAGATTGCCAAGACCAAGAGTTTTGGGTCCACCTGAGAATCAGGTCCTTAGACAGTGACCATGCTTTATGGTTGGTGAGAGGAGAAGCTCACAGGACTCCCATCTTGCCTTTACAGCGGACATCAGCCTGGCTGCCTGGGGACGAAAGGCTCTGGATATCGCAGAGAATGAAATGCCAGGCTTGATGCGCATGCGGGAGATGTACTCTGCCTCCAAGCCATTGAAGGGTGCCCGCATTGCTGGCTGTCTGCATATGACCGTGGAGACTGCTGTTCTCATCGAGACCCTGGTTGCCCTGGGTGCTGAGGTGAGGCTTATGGCTGTGTGGCTCTGGGTATGTCCCTTGCCCTCTGGGTTCAGCCAGGGAAGAATACTCTGTGTGTGTGTGTGTGTGTGTGTGTGTGTGTGTGTGTGTGTGTGTGTGTTGAGGAGACTCCAGGTATGGTTGTGGACTTTGGGCCAGCAGGGGCTGTGTCTCTTGACTTTTCTTTCTACACACTTTGTGGTTAAATGCACTTGTGTAGGTTTTCTCTTAGACCACAAGATAAGCTTTTGAGTATACTCAACTCATCCTTCTGAGAGCTCTGCTAGGTAAAACTCAACCCCATTTAGTCATCCAAGAACTGCTTCTTATTGGTCCTCCAAGGTTGTGTTCCTATCCTGGGCCAATCATAGGTGCTGGAGGATGGTGTACTTTGATTGGTTTAGCTTGGTCATAATATGCCAGTGATTGACAGCTCCTCCAAGATTACAAGGAGGGGCCAGGGTAGCCAAAACCAACAGAGATCTCCAGGGCTCAGCCCTTAAATTTCTTCTTTCTTTTCACATTACTTCACTTGGTGGTCTGATTTTGACTTTACTTTTTATTTTATTTATTTATTTTTGTCTTTTTGAGACAAAGTCTTGCTATGCAGTTCAGGCTGTCCTTGAACTTACTTTGTAGCTCAGGCTGGCCTCAAACTTACAGCAATCCTCCTACCTCAGCCTCCTGAGTGCTGGTATTACAGGTGTGCACCACCATGCCTGGCATGATTTTGACTTTAAATACTGTTTGTATGGTGATGACCCCAAAATACATGTATTAGCCTGAATTTCTGGAACTTTGATTCCACATACTCAGGTACTGACAAATCCTTCAAACTTGGAGGTCAAAGTGAATATTTCCAAACAAACTCCTGATTGTCTGCCCCATCCTCTTCCTGAAATCTCCCCACTGTCAGTAAATGGAGCTGCAGTTTTTTAAAAACCTGGAAGATTTGACAGCTTCTTATCACCTTCATTGTTGTGCTGTATTCTTTTTTTTTTTCCTGTACTGGGAATCAAACTCATGATCTTGTGCTTGCCAGGCAGGTGCTGAGCTATATTCCTGGCCTTGTTATGCTATATTCTTGTCAGGGCTGTTCTTCACTTATGCTCTTGCTTCAGATCTTTCCCTTCCGTGCAGCACCAGAATGATAATGTTTGAGGTGGATTTTGTCACTCCTCTAGCTCTTGTCTGCCTACTCAGTCATCTCCAACCTGTCGTGGCGATGGCCTCTTACTCTGAGCCCTAGAGTTTTTCCCACTTCCTTCCCAGTGCTTCTGGGCCATCAGTGTCTAACTGTTTTGTTCTTCTGGTCCTTGTAGGTGCAGTGGTCCAGCTGCAACATCTTCTCCACGCAGGACCACGCGGCTGCTGCCATCGCCAAGGCTGGCATCCCAGGTAAAGCCCCACTCGCTGCTGGGGCATGCGGGACCCTGTGAAGGGGCTCTGCTCCCTGCTTGCTTCATCGACTCCTACAGCACCCGTCTTCTTGATGGCAGGGGGGAGGATCCTAGCCTAGTGAATCATAGCAAAGAGTTTTTTTTATCTCATCATCCTCTAAAATCCTCTAGAAGCTGCTTATTGAGCCATCTGCAGCTTGGGACCCGGAAGGGCAGGATCTGTGGCAGCCACATGATATAGAAGAGGGGAAGTTCGTTAAAGGAAAAGTATGAATTTGTTTTCAAAAAGATGGGGGAAGGGGCCTGGGATATAGCGCAGCAGTACAGTGCCTGCCTGGCAAGCGCAAAATTGTGAGTTTGATTCCTGGTATTAGAAAAAACAAAACAAAAACCTGAAGGATAGGGCAGAGGATTGTCAGAGATCTGTTGACTGAGGGTGGTAATTTAGGGACCTGGCAAAAGACTAGGGCTAATGAGGAAGGACTTTCTCACGAACTGCTGAACAGGGCACATGTCTGTGTGGGCTTAGGGAAGGAAATGGTTAGGTCTGATGGTGATTAAATAAGACATTCAGTATTGCTCCTTATCAATCACAAGCAGAGAGAGGAATTGTGTTGTGACTGACTAGGGTTGAACACTAGGGTCCAGCACTCTGGCTAGGCACCATGACTGCCTTCTCCAGCTGAGGAGCGGGCAGCTGTCCCTGCATGGCCAGTGTCCTTTGCTCAAAGGAGGATCCTGGGGGGGACTTGCAGTGGTGTTCCAGTCATACCATATGATGGGGGGAGCTTTGATTGGCGGTCAGTAACTTTGGTTCTGATGCCTTCCCTAGATTGCTGTGCTAAAAGACACAGGCATATCTTTGCCCTGATGTGGGCCCTGGGATGGTAATGATGCTAATCCTGCTTCACAGGGTTTCTCTAAGAAAAATTGAAATGGAGCAGTCGGAATCATGTCTGGTACAAAGAAAGTATTCTACATGTAGTAACTGCCTTTAGTAATTTTTTGGCCAGAAAAAATGTTTTTTCTTTGGCCAGACATACTGTTGTGAGACTTATTTATTGAAGAGAAAACTGAGGTTCAGAGAAATGAAATGATTAGTTCAAGGTCACACAGCTGGTAGGTGACAAAGCTAGGATTTGAACTCAGGCCTGTCTGGCTCCAAGTAGTGCTCTTACTGCTATTGAGTTCCCAGGGTGGCTGGACATGGCTGAGGATGGGAGTTGGGAAGGGGACAGTATTGATTCTACTTGAGCGGTTCCCTAGAACAAAGGTGCTAGTGGGGAAGGTAAGGTCCTGATGTGCTACTTACCCTCCAGTGTACGCTTGGAAGGGTGAAACAGACGAGGAGTACCTGTGGTGCATCGAGCAGACTTTGTACTTCAAGGATGGGCCCCTCAACATGATTCTGGATGATGGCGGTGACCTTACCAACCTCATTCACACTAAGTACCCACAGCTTTTGTCGGGTAAGCAGGGTGGGGTAGATGGGCCGGATGTTTGTGGCCTGGATGGAGCCTGCTCCTTTGCACGAAGACAGTAGGCTTGGCAAAACTCCCAGATTCTGTGGAAGGCCGAAGGACAGAGGATTCCCACGGTCATGCTAGGGCTTGACCCTTCTGACTTAGGATAAGGGATTTGCTTGGCTTGGCTGGGTGGGAGCAGCTGAGTTGATGGTTCAAGGGATGGGGGAGGGCTAGAAATGGGCCTGGAACACTAGGTAACCCTGCTCTAACACTGAGAAGGACCCAGCTTTGTTAAAGGCAGGGCAGGAAGGGGAGTAGTTGGAAATGGGGTACGACAAAGATAAAGACAGGAAAGGATTGATTATTCAGAAAACAGGAATGAAGCCAATAGAATTACAATGATCTTTCCTTAGGAAATATTACAGGATGTAGATGGAGCGTTAGTTGTGATCTGAATATGCCAAGAGAAAATAATTTGGCTTGATCCAGAGAGCAAAAGGAAATAATCAGAGGTTTTTGAAAAGAATTCTCTGAAAATAAAGGCTAAAGGTAGCTAATGGGTGCTTTATGAAAAAAAAAAAACAATGAGAAATGACAGTGACAGGGACTAAGGCAGGGGCAATGGGACTGCAGAGGTTGAGGGATTTGGGGAGGTGGGGTCACGAAGCCTGGTGACAGATTCTGTATAGATGACACTTACGCAGAGACATTGCACTGGCTGTGGTATCAGTCGTGGAGATGGGAGCCCGGAAGGAACAACACCGGGCAAAATGAAGAATTTGCATGAGTGAGATGTGGTCTCTGATGCCCTTCCCTTCTTGGTCAGGCATCCGAGGCATTTCTGAGGAAACCACGACTGGGGTCCACAACCTATACAAGATGATGGCCAAGGGGATACTGAAGGTGCCTGCCATCAATGTCAATGACTCTGTCACCAAGGTGAGCCCTGGTAATGAATGCTCCAGCTGCTGGCTCCTGGTGCAGCTGAGGAGTGGGCCTGCGAAGGGCGCCCATGGAGGTGGAAAGGGGCTGCAGACTGAGGGTAGTGGGTGCGTTAGAGAAAGGAAGAGTGAGCTACACAGTGGGCCTCTCTGAGCTGGGTTTCATGAACATGGCTTTGGTTTTTGTTTTTTGTCTTTTTCGTTTTTATCGGTACCAGGGATTGAACTCACGACCACACATTTGCAAGACAGGCACTTATGCCGCTGAGCTAAATCCCTAGTCCCAAGAACATGGCTTTGTTAAGAGCTTTGAGGTTATGCAAATTTATGGACCTAGCAGTCCGTCTTAGTGATTAATTCCTAGGAAGGCTTCTAGACCAACAGAGAAAGAGTAGGGAGGAGGTCTGGGAGGTGGTCCAATGAGGGGCATCTGGGGGCATTAGGGAGTGGGAAGAATCCCAGAGGAGGATCACTTCAGGCAGAGGTGCTGAGAGAACCTGAGGCTCCAGGGCTCTACAAAATACTCTGGGATTGGGGTTCAAGGCTTTACTGGCCCCCTCATTCCCTTGTTCTCTTGGCTTTCAGAGCAAGTTTGACAACCTCTATGGCTGCCGGGAATCCCTCATAGATGGCATCAAACGGGCCACAGATGTGATGATTGCAGGCAAGGTTGCAGTTGTCGCAGGCTATGGCGATGTGGGCAAGGGTTGTGCCCAGGCCCTACGGGGTTTTGGAGCCCGTGTCATCATCACTGAGATCGACCCCATCAATGCACTGCAGGCTGCCATGGAGGGTATGGTAAAGCGAGGGTTGACTGTCAGCCACTGGGGAAGAGAAGGGGCACAGCCACCCTAGATAACCCACAGCTGTTGTCTATACAGGCTATGAGGTAACTACCATGGACGAGGCCTGTCAGGAGGGCAACATCTTTGTCACCACCACGGGCTGTGTGGACATTATCCTTGGTCGGTAGGTGCCACGTGTGGGCCCTGGGGAGTGATGGAGTGGGGCAGACTCGGGACTGCTCTTCATTGCTGATGGTCTGCCATGGGCTTGGGCCCTCCCCATAGGCACTTCGAACAGATGAAGGATGATGCTATCGTGTGTAACATTGGACACTTTGATGTGGAGATTGATGTGAAGTGGCTTAATGAGAATGCTGTGGAGAAGGTGAACATCAAACCCCAGGTGAGAATCCTCAGCCCTGCCAGCAGACTGGGCAGTGGAGGGGCATGGAGAGGGCCATGTGGGGGTCACATACCCAGGAGCCCAGGTTAAGAGGTTACCGCAACCCAGATGGTGGAGTGTGGGGAAGAGAGCCTGGTTCCAGAGCTAAGCTTCAGTGTCAGGCTTGATCCTGAGGGCAGCTGGAGTCCCTGAGGGTAGAGGCAGGTGAGCCATATGTGGTGAGGTTGCTGTTTCAGAAAGATCCTTGTAACCCCGTGTGGTGGTGCACTTCTGTAATCCCAGCACTTGGGAGACTGAGGCAGGAGAACCGTTTGCAAGTTCAAGATCAGCCTGGGCTATGTTGTGAGTTCGAGGCCAGCCTGAACTACATAGTGAGACCCTGCCTCAAAAAAATAAAAAAGAAAGAAAGATCGATCTTTCTTGCTACCATGTGGAAAATGGAAGCAGTGGCACAGGGTGGGAAGGGGAGGGCGCTCTTGGTGTCCTGTGGAATGATGGCAGCCTCCACCTGGAGAGTGCTGGGGATTGGGCTCACCCAGGGGTTAAGTGGGGGGGAAACCAAAAAGGGTGCTGAGTTTCTTCTGGCTGGAACAGCGGAAAAGTAGGCTATTTTCTGAGCTGGGACAAGGACAGGTTTGCAGATGACCTGAAAGATAAAATTTCTTCAGGGAATATGATATTTTATTTGGGTTTATTTTCTCTAGAAAACATTATGACTTTATATATCAAGCGATTACTCAAGCTAAGCAACTCATTTTGTTGTTATTCTGCTGCTGATGGAACCTTGGGTCTTGCGTGTGCTAAAGCATGTGCTCATAACTGATTCTCTGGTGGTGTGACCTTTTTTGTTTTGTTTTGTTTGTTTGTTTTTGAGTCACAGTTTCACTATGCAGTTCAGGCTGGCCTTGACCCCACTGTATAATCCAGGCTGGCCTTGAACTTGCAGGGAACCTCTTGCCTCAGCCTCCTGAGTGCTGGAATTATTAAGTGTGAGCCACTATGCCCAGCTCATGCATTCCAATTTTAGTGTGTGTGCTGCTGAAGAGAGCACTCATATATTCCCCCCACCTTCTTTCTTTTGGTCTTTTTGAGACAGGGTCTCACTATGCAATTTAGATTGGCCTTGAACTCACTTTGTAGGCCAGGCTTGTCTTGAACTTAAAACAATCCCCCTGCCCCAGCCTTCTGAGTGCTGGTATTACAGGCATGTACTACCATGCCTGGCTTTTTCTTTTATTTTAATGAGACTGCCTCTCACTATTCTTCCAGACTAGCCTTAAACTCACAGTGATCTGGATTATAAGCAAGTGCCACCATGTGTGGCATGCATTCCTGTTTTTTTTTTTTTTTTATCGGGGATCAAACTCACTTCCGTGTATGCAAGGCAGGTGTTTATGCCGCTGAGATAAATCCCCAGCACACATTCCTGTTTTTAAAAAGCATGGGAAGGGTTTATTAGGTAGAAATTTTAGGAACTGCTTGAGAGCAATAGAAGCAATAACATTAGCTGCTATTTGCTGAGTACCTAGTATGTGCTGTGCAATATGCTTCACAGGTGTTATCTCATTAAAATCTCAGCTGACCTATGAGTTATTGAGTATTATTACTGTTGTTACTATCATCATCATCACTGATGGTACTTGGGATTGAACCCAGGCCTTTTGCACTGAGTTACCTCTCCAGCCCATTTTTACGTTTTTAATTTGAAATAGGATCTTGCTGATTTGCTAAGTTGCTCAGGGTTGCTTAAACTTGTGATCCTCCTGTCTCAGCCTGCCAGAGCACAGGGATTACTGGCATGCACTGCCGTGCTCAGCTGTGCTAACCTATTTGAAGGTTATTTGTTCTGGAGTATTCTGGGCTTCTCCTCCAGAGTGGGAGACAGAGGCAGATGTGGACCATGAGCCAGTGCCTCTCAGCCCTCACCATTGTCCTGGTGACTCGCAGGTAGACCGCTATCGACTGAAGAACGGGCACCGCATCATCCTGCTGGCTGAAGGGCGGCTAGTCAACCTCGGTTGTGCCATGGGTCACCCCAGCTTTGTGATGAGCAACTCCTTCACCAACCAGGTGTTGGCACAGATTGAGCTGTGGACCCATGCAGAGAAGTACCCTGTTGGGGTTCACTTTCTGCCCAAGAAGGTAGGTTCTTGCTTTTCCCTTAAGCACCCAATCCTGGGCTTTCCTCTAAGGGCTCACTAGAATTTATAAAGTGTGGTCTACCCTCTTAGAGGTCCTAAAGGCTTCTCTGTGGTACAGAATCATTCTCCCCACTTGACTGGAGAAAACTGAGGCCTACACTGGGGCATGATTCCTGGAGCACCTCTAGAGTGGTAAAAGGAGCATGAACTTTGCAGGGAGACACACCAGATTCTGATCTCGGCCTCACCATAGAGAGCTGTGTAACTGGGGCACGTTGCTTAGTTTTTCTGTGCTTCCATTCTCTCATCTGTAAAATGGAGGCTTAGGATTTCCCTTAGGGATCGTGAGCATTTTCCTTAGTTTGGGATCACAAATCCACATGTCCATAAAGACATAAAGGATGTCTGCCCCTCATTTGTCATCATCCCAGAGCTCGGGTCTTTGGGACCAGGACTTCTGAGCTTTGAAGAGAAGCCTCACGCCAAGAAATGGCATGAAATAATTTCTCAATGTTAAAAACTCCTATGGTTTTTAAAAATAAATGCGGGGATGGGGATTTAGCTCAGTGGCATTAAGTGCCTGCCTAGCAAGTGCAAGGTTCTGAGTTTGATTTCTGGTACCAAAAAATAAATAAATAAAAGTAAATCAGTGGGTGGATATAGCAAGCCCTACGCAGGTGTCATAGCAGTCTGGAAGTTTATATTTGTAATCCCATGGAAAAATTATTGGAATTCTAGCGAGTTAATTCCAATCTACTACATCCATTGCAACCCATGGTGAGAATAAAGACACTAAGGCATATTTATAGTTGTTGGAAGCCAAGGGGTCCTAAGTCCAGCTAGGGTATAGTTAACTGGAACAGCTCAATCCAGGGCTGAACCTAGGTTTTATTCATTCATGAAGAAGAGAATGGTTTGGGGATGTGTGACTGTGAAAGTGGCAGGAAGTACGTGAGTGCTGTGAGCAGTGCTGGGTGGTGGCCTGAAATCACCTCTGCAATATGCAGAGAAAAGGATACACAGAAATCCTGCGTAACAGTTCTAGGTAGTATCTAATGTTTTGGGGTTGGTACTTCAGCTTGGATGTGTAGTCTTTGATGTCCTGGGAGGTCATAGTCCCTTATCTTAAGGCTTATCCTAGTGGATAGGGTACCATGGAGCATGGCTCTCTCTTCTGCCTGGCTCACACTTGTGTTTTGGGAGCTGCAGGGGTGGGGTAACACTGAGACTACACATTAGCACCTCGCTAGACCAATTTTCATTCTTAAAGCCAGTCGAAGGGATAAGGAAAAATCCTAGCCACTCTGTACATGGAACTAGGGCAAGGTTTAGCCAAAATAGAGATAATTGCTCTTCTTTGAAGGAGAGTTGTCCAGCTGGTCTTCCACAAGTGAATCAACTCAGGCATATCTGTGGGTACAGTCTGTAGGCTGCAGGTTTATTATGGCCTTCAAATGAGCTGATGCAGGGCTAAGCAAGATACTTGACCCCTATGCTGTGGGCCTGCCAGGGTAACTGAGATGTGGAGGTCTTCAAATGCACCGTACAGACTGCCCATCCCTGTGGGTGAAAACTGTTTTAGTTCTGCCTCATTTTGCCAATATCACAAGTGAACTTCCCTTTGATATTTATCTGTCTGATGTTTTCCCTGCCAAGAGTATCTTTTGTTTTCTCAGTCTTTGGGTGCTGGAGGGTCTGTGGGGTCTCTTATCAACCCACCACCCCGTGAAAGGCTGGTTCTGCCCTTGAGGAGGAATTAGGAAGGCATCTGAGTGTATACTCCGGGCCTGGAATCTCTACACCCCAGCACCAGCCAACTCTTTCCCATGTTTCCCTGGGCCACTGTCTTGCTGGACCAAATGTTTTACCCTGCAGAACCTCAAGAGCTACCTTGGTCTGTGCAGCTTTCCTGATTCCCAGGATTGCTGTAGAATTAAAACTTTTTTTTTTTTTTTTTTGTCTTTTTTGTATTTTATCGGTACCAGGGATCGAACTCACGACTGCCTGCTTGCAAGGCAGGCGCTTATGCCACTGAGCTAAATCCCCAGCCCCTTAAAACATTTTTTACTTGACCCCTTCTCTGATCCCAGCTGGGAGAAATATGACTGAATTTGGTGATAATCGGTTGTTTTTTGAAATGAGGTCAGGTTTGGAAGTAAAAAAGAAAAAGTGTGCCATCTTACTCATTAGGACCCATCCTCACTTTCTTCCTTGATCTCTGCTAAGATGTGCCTTAGGTCTGTCTAGGCAAGGGGTTAGGTGTCATGGTTAGAGTCATGATGACAGAGAAAGCCACAATTTATTAAATTACCTTGTACTAACCACTCAGTATCACTGATCTTTTTAACAGCTGTGAAACATGAAGAGCTGTTACATCTGTCCTACAAACAAGGTTTGTAGGTTTAGAGATAGGCTTGCTCTCATAGCTATTAAATATTGGGCCAGGAGTAGAACTCAGCTCTGTTGGTCCAGGTTGTTAACAATTTCTTCATCTTTCTCCTCTTCTTCTTCCTCCTCCTCCTTCTTTTCTTTTTTTTCTTGGTCTTTTTGAGACAGGGTCTCATTATACTGTTCAGCCTGGCCTTGAGCTTACTTTATAGCCCAGGCTGGTCTGGGAACTTGGAATGATCCTCCTGCGTCAGCCTCCTGAGTGCTGAGATTACAGTTATGAGCCACTGTGCCTGGCTTAACTTTCAGGATCGTTTTGCGTATTTCAACACTGATATGTTTGCCTTATGTAAACTCAGCCTTTGACTTTGGCTTCTATGTGATCACTTCAAAGCTGCCCCTGGGGCCATAGCTCAGTTTTTTTTTTCAAGAAAATCTCTCTGTGTAGTCCAGGCTGACCTTGAACTCATGTGTAGTTTAAGCTGGCCTCAAACAGTGATCCTCCTACCTCATCTTCTAATTGCTGGAATTATAGGCATGTGCCACTACATGCAGCTAATTTATATTACTGAGATGTGTTTTGGAATATTGGAGCCAAGTGGACCTTGGTTCAAATCCTGTCATTCACCAGATGTATGACCTTGGGCAAATTATTCCACTTTTCTGAGCCTTGATTTCCTTATTTGTACAAGGAATTCTGCAGTTTTTACTAGTCAGGGTCCTTTTGGTAGCTATTGGGAGTTTTGTTCAAATCAGGGTGCTAGTTATCTACTACTATATAATAGTTTAAATTCAAAACTTACTAACTTAAAACAATAAATATTTAGCTGGTACAGTAGCATATACCTGGTAGCTCAGCTAGTTAGGAGACTGAGGCAGAAGATCTCTTGAGCCCAGGAGTTTGAGGCCAGCCTGGGCTACTTAACAGGAACTCATCTCAAAAAAAAAAAAAAAAAAAAGAAAGAAAGAAAGAAAGAAAAAAAAAGAAAAGAAAGAAAGAGAAACAGTAGTCACACCTATAACCTTGGCCACTTCGGAGGCTGAGGCAGGAGGATGGCAAATTTGAAGCCAACCGGGACTGTTTAGTGAGATTCTATCTCAAAATTTAAAAAATAAGTGGGGATGTAGGTTAATGAATTCTGGGTTACGTGTCTAAGACCACAATAACAAAACTAATTACACATTTGTTTCTCAGTTTCTGTGGAGTAGGAATTTGAGATCAGATTAACTGGGTGCTTCTGACTTGGATCTCATAAGGTTGCAGGCATGATTTCTGCCAGGGCTATTGTCATCCAAGGCTTGTCTTGGCCTGGAAGGTTGGCTGCCTGTCCATCTTGAGGGGAGGTCTCGATTCCTTCCCACAGGCCACTCGACGAGGCTTCTAAGGTATAATCAGGAAATCTTGTTTTGAAGTCTCATCTAGCTTTTGTTCTTCTGTCTCCAATGGTCTAAACAGGTTGTATCTTATTGGATTTTACTATGTACGATAGTATAAGAAAAAACCTTTTAAAGACAAGGAGATTATACAGAGACCATTGTTCATTTTCTGTTAGTCGATTCTAAATACTCTATAATGCTGTTATTCTCTTAAATGGATTTACATTGTTTTGATATACTTAATGCTACAGTATATGAAGTTGTACTCAAGGACGTCAGGGAGGGAGTCAATATGGTAACTATTTTTGGGTCAGGATTAGCTGGTGGTGAAACACTATTCTGCTTAAATGGTTATGTTTTGATCTGCCCTGTTTCGCTGTTATGCCCTCTTTTTTTCTCAATCTCCACTCCATTATTTACTTTTTTTTTTTTACCCATTTAATTACAGGGAAAAATATAGCAGGATATAATATAGTAACCCACTTTGACTTTCTATTATCTCGATTTGAAGCCCTGTATTACTCTCACCATCTTGTTTTTGACTGAGGTTCCTATATTCTGTTTTGCTGGATAGTATCAGGTTCGAAAGTTTAGGCATCAGCTGAGAAGATAATGAGATTCATTATAACGCCCATTCTCGTTGACTTTTATCTACTTTTGAAGACCTACAATGTCTCCAATGTTTTGGTTTTGTCGGTTTTATTCTTTACGGTTTTGTTCAATTGTATTACAACTAATGATATAGGCAATTCTATTAGAAATAGCGGGAGGCATTAGGGTAACCATTGTTGATCACCTTGTATTATGTTTTTATATTATCTATTATGTCCACCCTTTTGACTTGACTGATTCTGTTCTGTTATGTCACATTTGGTTTTACTCTCTTCCAAAAAAGCAACAAGAACCGTGGGAGCAATGAAACCCAAAATGTGTAATAGTCACTGTACAAAAGAGAGGAAAAGAAAGTGCTCTAAACTATATAACTGCATGTATATTTAAAAGTATAAGATAGAAAATGATATCACAGAGTTTTATTGGATCATTGAACAGAACTGTTTGCAGTATCATTGGTGGAATGTCCACTCTACAAGCTTTAATTTTGTGACTTGAACAATTATTTCTAAGATGGCAATATGTAATCCATTAACTAGTGATTTCCTACTGCGCATTTTTTTATTCTGTAAATCTGTATAACTTGTACCCCTTCACTGTTTTTTTTTCTTTCTTTTCTTTTCTCCTTAAATAAAAATTAAAAAAAAAAAAAAAAAAAAAAAAAAAGGAATTGGCTGCTTGCTTCCCTGGTGTAGTGACTCGGGGAGTGGAAAGAGGGAGCCACATTGCTTTTTATGACCTTGTCTCCAGTCATACATGGTTGCTTCTGTTTTATTCTGTTTACCAGAATTGAATTACTCAGGATTGAGAATTAGGTCCTACTTCTTGAAGGAAAGAGTACCAAAGAATTTATGGGTTTACTTATCTCATGGACCATTCTATATATAGATATATTTTAGTCAAAGTTTAATCAGAAAAGAAACTCTACTGACCATCAAGTGGGGAAGTCTGAAGATTTAGGGTTTAATGTCATCATAGTTTTTTTGTTTTTTTACATGGAGGGATACTGTGGAACCCAGGGCCTCATACATGCTAAGCATGTGTTCTGCCTCAGCAATACCCCTAGGTATTGCTTTTTTTTCTCCGTATTTCTCTATATTTATTTCATTTGTCAAGTGGACTTGTCAATGATGAGCTGAGGTGGCTACCCTTCTCCATTTAGGAATCCTAGTGGAATTGGAATGCCCCTGTCTCTACCTCATGGAAAATATGTCCTAAAGCATTTTAGTTAGCCACTGACATTGGTGGAAGTGAGGAAGGAGATAGAATTGCTGGTCTCTAGGTAGGGTAAGTTGGAGGGAAGGATGTGGTATGGTTTCCTCTTGACAGGAATGTACGCATCCAGAAGAACATACCTACTGAGATTGGGTGTGAGGGTTGAATAGAGTGCAATATAGGTAATACACACGACAGATACCCCAGAAGAGCAGTTTCTACTGTTTGGTTGCTTGATACAGGTAGAGGATCCAAGGTCATGTCATTTATTCCAGTTTTCTTTTTGTTTTTCCACATCCCAGCTGGATGAAGCAGTGGCTGCGGCACACCTGGGCAAACTGAATGTGAAGCTGACCAAGCTGACTGACAAGCAGGCCAAGTACCTGGGCCTACCCTCTGACGGCCCATTCAAGGCTGACCACTACCGCTACTGAGAGAGACAACCATCCTTCACCTCCAGCGGCCGTCTTTGTCCAGGCCACACTTCTTCCCAGGAGCAAATGGCACCAACTCTACAATTGCTTTCCAGTGTCCTCCATATGGGGCCCCCTGGGGCTGGTCAGCCTTCATACTGTTCCAAGTGTGGCTGGAGGAATTGAGGGGTCCCAGTAAGATAGAGGTATGAAACAGATCTCTGGGGAACCATGAGCTCGGGAATCTTTGAAGTGCTCAGTCAGTCCTGCCCTAGGCTGGAAGATGGTAGTGGTGGTCACAAAGGCCATGCACACTGCCATCCAGGCCTTTCTCTGGCCTATGGACTTAGACCTGTGTGCTTGGTTTACAGGTTTACTTATTTCTCAGCCCATGATAGATGAGAAGAAGCTCTATCAGAGAGCAAAGAAAAACTCTGGGAGTTTAAATGTTCCTGAAAGTGTGAATTATTTAGTGCTGGGGCTTCTTGTAAATCTCAGAATATTGAAGTTGATCCTTTTAGTATCTGTTTCACGGGGATTAGAATAGACTATTCAGGAATAATCAAGAAGGGACAGAGCGGTGATAGCCAGAGGTTGACAGGGGCCACAGTAACATAAAAAGCAGGCATAGATTTGCCATCACATTGTAAAAAATAGTTCCTGCCATAACCCTGGGTCAAAAAAATTAATTTGGTTTATAATGTTTATATAATCTTTAGAGTGTTATAGCAGAAAGGTGGGTTAATAAAATTTTTGGTGCCTAAAAGAATTCTGAGCCTTTATTATATACAGCTATGTATGACACGAGTTGGGGGCTGTAGTCATGTACCTGTGATGCATGAGAAGGCAAGGGGTCATCAGCAGTGTGGAATAGTGAGAGTTGCAGGCAGCTCCTTAGGCTTGGAGGGGTTAGCTATTCAGGGTGTGTCTTACAAATAAACAATTTCAGCTGGGTGTGGTGGCTCATGTCTGTAATCTAAGCACTTATGAGGCGGAGGCAGGAGGATCACTTTGAGTTCAAGGCCAGCCTGAACTGCATATGAGACCCTGCCTCAAAAAACAAAGCAAAATAATAAAAACCCCATACCATAAATAACCTGTTTCTTACTCAGTTTAAGACTGACCTTTGATTGGTTTATAAATTTAACCCTTTTATAATTATAACTGTTATATTTTGAGCTCTATTAAATTTTGACTCTTAATGAGAATTTCTTTTTTGTCTTTTTCTTTTTTTATCGGTACCGGGGATTGAACTCACAACTGCCTGCTTGCAAGGCAGGTGCTCATGCCGCTGAGCTAAATCCCCAGCCCTTTTTTTTTTTTTAATGAGAATTTCTTTTTTGTCTTTTTCTTTTTTAAATTTTGACTCTTCATTTGCACTTTTTTGGATTGACCCAGTGTACTTTGAGGAGCTAGTTTTACAGATGACAGTGACTTTTCTAAGCTCACAGAGTCCTCATAATGTGAATCACAGGAACATGGATGGGCAGTTGTACTCTTATGCCTAACTGATAAATTTAGTGGCTCTCTGTTCGATGTTTAAAGTCAAAGAAAAGCCAGAGCTTACCTGGGAAGACTCAACTGGGGACTGACCTGACAGCCAGCCACTGAATAGAAGGCCTGACAGATGCTGAGTTGTTTGAGGGCTGATCCTAGCTGGCTTGGAGAGAGGTGCATAAATAGCTTTGCCACCTTCTGGTTCTTTTCTGCCTAACTTTAGAGTTCAGTGCCTGGCAACAGTAGGAGAAAGGCACTAGAGAAGAGGTGGCACCAGAACAGATTTTGAAAGAACTGAAGTTTTTTAACTGGAGAGGTTTAAGGCAAACAGCATGCAACACAGCACAACTTTGAAAATGCAAGGACTGTTGGGAGGAGTTTTTTGGCTGTAATCTAGGAGCAGCCATGAGAAGGCTGGAAAAGTGCCCTGGAGAACAGGAAGGAAAGGTCTTGAGTGTCACAGTGAGGCCTTTGATTTTTTTTTTTTGGAGGCCTTTGGTTTGGATTCTTGAATAGCACAGAGCCCTAGAATATCCCCACTTAATAGAACCTTTCAGAGTTGTGATACTTGCGTAGTGATACTTGGTGACACACTCAGTTTGATCTGAATGTAGGATCATAGTCTCATGTGAGACATGGGAAGTGTTAAGCCTGTTTCATTTAAGGAATCAAGTTTTGACAAGGCAGTAGCTGGGACTGGGTTAGAGTATCACAATATGTAGGAAAGCACCCCTCTCACTGTAGTTGAACCCTGGGTCTCATGCATGCTACACGAGGGTTCTACCACAGCTGCAGGTAAGGCTTTAATGGGACTTCCACTTGAGCAGAAAGATTAATAACCGCTGATTAAAAGAGAAACCAGCCTGCCCCCTGAACAGAGGAAGGGGCAGACTTACCGAGTTTGCTGTGATGGGCAAGGTTTATACGGAGGGTTAAGTTTGCTGTGAAGGACAAGGAGTTTCCTGTGAAAGATATTGGTCAGGAGTCATTTATTTTTTGGAGAAATGGTGCCGACACCCTGACTCTTGTGCATCTGGTGTTGTGGTCCATCAGGTCCTTATTATTATTATTATTTTTTTTTTTTTTTTTTTTGTCTTTTTCGTTTTTTACCGGTACCAGGGATCGAACTCACGACTGCCTGCTTGGAAGGCAGGCGCTTATGCCGCTGAGCTAAATCTCCAGCCCCAGGTCCTTATTATTTGAAGAGCTTAAAGGCAGGAAGAAATGTGTACTATACTTTTAATGGGGTTGGGAGGTTAAGGATTAGAGATTAAGGGTTTAGGAGTTTATTTGCCCTTTGCCCTTGTGTTTCCTGTCCCAGGGCTGTCTTTAATACTTTAGTGTTCCTTCTGTGTTCCAAGTTGAAGCATTTAGAGCTGCAAAATAAGGGAATGTGAGGTACCAGGGGGTAAGATTGACCATTCCTCAGTCATAAGCTTTCTTGACTAAGTCCAACTATGTGGCACTCCCTTGCCCATGTCTTACACTGTAATGTACTCTATTTGAGTGCAGATGCATCTGAGTGACATAGAAAAGGCCTTGTTTCCTGTATTTTTAAAAGTTCAGTGGGTATGGACTTTAAGATGTGAAGTTGGATACAGCACCTGCCTGGCAAGCATAAGGTCCTGAGTTCGATTTCCAGTACCAAAAAAAAAATGTCAAGCAAACTCTGTGAGTCAAGCAAAATCCACTCAGTAGCCCCTGGTCAGAGAGGCACAATAAGCTGAAAACTGGTTCTTTGAACTTAGATGCTTATTGGAATGTCCTGCCCTTAAACATTTTTACTCCGTGTCAATAGTTGAAGACATAAGTTGCATGGATATATATGACTGCTGAAAATAACTTATACTTTGGTAATTCAACTATTATTAGTGCCAAATGCCAGCAACCTACTTCTCAACTGATCACGTCAGTGGTCACAATGGACAATGGATCAGATCTGTACAATAACCACTACTGTTTCCTGCCTTCCCATTGTGTGCCAGGCATTGTGCTTACTAAGCATCTTTTAGATATGATCTTACTTATTCTTGACGAGATCTTTGTGGAGATTTCAGTTCCTGTGTTGTATATCAGGAAATGGGTGCCATGAAAGTGTACGGGCTTTTGCATTTGATTGGACTCAGATTAAAAATCCAAGTATGAAAAAACAATCCTAGTGCGTTCTACATGCTGGCTCAGGTTTAGGTAGACCGGTAACTTCAAATCCGCAACACTTAAGCCAGTAACTGGGACTGTAGCCCAGCTCCCCTAAAGACAAAGTTGCCAGAAGAGAGTGCTATTCAGCCTCACCTCAGTTTTTCTAGCACAGTGACTTTTGGAACGATGACTTGGTAAAAAAAAGAGGTGGAGGGGGCTGGGGATTTAGCTCAGCGGCATAAGCGCCTGCCTTGCAAGCAGGCAGTCGTGAGTTCGATCCCCGGTACCGATAAAAAGGAAAAAGACAAAAAAAAAAAAAAAAAAAAAAAGAGGTGGAAGCTGTTCATGTGCGCCAGGCAAGTTTAATTGCACAGCAGTTATGCCACTTCCTCTAAAGGATCCTGTAATGGTTGATACATTGTGTCAACTTGAGAAATTTAGCAACTCAGCAGGCAGTCAGGTTCTTATTTAGGAAACATCCTCATCCTGTGCAAGAAGGGGGCACAGAGGCTGGGGATTTAGCTCAGCGGCTTAAGCACCTGCCTTGCAAACAGGCGGTCGTGAGTTCGATCCCAAATACCGATAAAAAGTTAAAAAAAAAAATAAGGGTGCACAGAGAAGGTGAGAGCACTACATTCTCCCTAGGGAGTGGTGACCTGCTGGTGATATAAAGGAGGAAAAGAGACTCCCTTTCTTTTTGCTCTTGTTGCTTTGCTGTCTTCTGCTTCACCTTGAACCGTTACCAGTGCCACGCCACCCTTGAAGCCAGCTGAATACAGACTGAAACCTCCACACACTGAGCTAAATAAACCTTTTCTTCCTTAATTTTGGGTGTTGGGTAGTTTGTCTCAGCAGGGAGGAAAACATAACAAAGACAGTCCCCATCCATGTGTTTGCACCTCCTTTCTGTCAAATCTGTCTCCATCTAGACACAGAAACACTTTTCCAGATGTTCCCTTCTGTGAGATCCCGTGGAGCCCCGCACCTCTAGTCTGTCCAGGGTTCTGGTTTCTGTTATCCTAGCTTTTCCTTTCCTCTTTGGAGATGTCCTCAGAACTTTTTGCTTTTTTTTTCTTTTAGACCTCTTGTCGCCCTTCACATCTGGTCTCAGACGTGTCTCTGATCTAAGGTCTGCCTGATGTGTGACGTGTGACACTGAGCAGGTGCTCACAATGAAAGATGTGTCTTGTGCTCCCTCACCCCTGTTCCTGACATCTTAGCTCCCCATCAAGGCTTCATGGGGAAAGATACTGGTTGGAGTCCTGCAGTATCGTGTCTTGCCTCCCCCTCACTCCCTGAAAAGGGAGAAGGGAAGACAAGGCTGGAGGTTTGGAAGGAGGAGAACTGGGTCTGCTGCTGAGTCATGTTTCTTGGGACAGGGACAGAAATACCAGCTCAGAGCATTCTTATATGTAGAGAGTTTTATGTTGAGTTTTAAGGGCTATATCAGGCACCTGGGGACAAGATGCCTGTTTTAGGGACAAGGAAGTTAGAATACTTAGAAAATATTTTGGAGAAATTATAGAATCCTAGAACTAGGAAAGATCTTACAGTTAAAACATCCTTTGAGCAAAAGCTAGAATTTGGATAAGAAGAGATGGAGGTCCAGAGAATATAACTGACTTATCCAAAGTCAGCCTGAAAGTCTGGGCATCTCGCCTGTCTCTGTATCAGGGTTCTTCTCTGGACATCAAGCTCCATGACCCCATGTGTCAGGTTGTGATGGAAAGTCCCTACTCCCTAAGATCTTTCAAATCCTGTCTGGCACAGAAGTGGTGGTCTTAGCAAGCTTGGAGGTAGCATGGAGTAAGACCCAGGAAAGGGTGTAGGGAGCTGTTTATGCTGGTGAAAACTTCAGGAGGCAGCAGAGAGTGGTCAGTTCTGCTTAGGAGGTCTCAGTTTACAGAAAAGCCCAGATTCTGATCCCTGAGACACCCTGAAGACTAGGGGACAAAGCTAGAAAATCTGTTTGAGGCGGTCAAGGCAGCCAGGAGCATTTGCTCATGTGATCCAGGCATGGTCAGTCATTGATTAGTTCTCCAAATGCACTCAAGGACATTCATGTGCGTCAGATTGTTCCAGACTTTAGGACTTTTGTTAGAAATCTGGTATGATGCAAGAGTGATTCCAGGAGTTTACTGTGGGCTAGTGGACTGCATTTGGACTCAAGAGTTGTGATGTTGTAGTAGTCTACACAGCCAGTTAGGAATTCTAAAGAACAGTCCTGGACAGTATGAAAATGTTCAGAATTCAAATAAATGAAGCTATCTGTTGGGCTTTTCAGGCAGCAGGATGGTACAGGCATCACTACCACCACCATTCAGGAAGTGCCACCTCCCAGACTCTTTCAGCTCTCACATCCAGCTGAGAGAGTTGGTAATTAGCTATTGTTTCAATGCAAACTGTCATCAAAAAGCTATCTAAAGTGGAAAACTTCAAAATAAATAAAATACATTCCTTTTCTTCTGTATCATTTCTTCAAAACACATACTGCTATACCCTTGGCCCATGGAAGAAGAGAGTAACAAGTCTACTGGGGATTAATCTGAAATTTACTGCAGATGGTTTGGCTAATGCAGTTCAAGTCACATGCTTTTCTTCACTTACCCTATTTTCTTCACACATGGGAACTGGCTGTTGGAGCTAAATCTCTTCATAAAGTTCCTAAAGACAGCAGTAATTTCCTGATCATGGATAGTGGTGCTAGATCTGTGGTTGCTCAAACATATGGAAGAACTTAGATTAAGGACCCAGCAGTTGCCAATTAAGTTGACCTATGGTCCATAATTCAAGAAGGAATATATAATGTTTTTGTGAAATCATAAGTGCAATTTCTACTTTAAAAAAGATGTAATAAAACATGCATGTTTAAACATGCTGTGCACCAAATTTTAACACACTGGAAGACACCTGGACCAAATTTTGTAGGATACCCCTTACTGTTTGTGTTTAACAGAAGGTTGTTTTGAGGTCTCAGGGTAAGCTCTTAAAACCTTTTTATAACTTCTCTGTGTGATTTAAATGTTCCTCCATACTGTGCAAACAAAACAAAAGACAAACTGGTTGCTGGGACTGATGTTGGAGAACAACTGTTAATATTTAATTTCTGGTTTCACTGTTTTTTTGTGCATCATTATAACATTCTACTAATTAAAAAATGCTGTAATGTGTATTACATAATGAGATTGTCTTAAAATTTGATTTGGGGGGGCTGGGGATTTAGCTCAGCGGCATAAGTGCCTGCCTTGCAAGCAGGCGGTTGTGAGTTCGATCCCCGGTACCGATAAAAAGGAAAAAGAAAAAAAAAATTGATTTGGGGGCTGATGTAGGTAAGTGGCAGAGCATTTTTGCCTAGTATGTGCCAGAGAGATAGAGACAGAAAGAGACACAGAGAGAGAGAGAGAGAATTGTGTTGTGGATGGAGATGGAGTACCCAAATCATCATAACAATAAAACTATAATTCTGAGCCACAAATGTGAGTTTTAACTTTGGTTATCAGATAGCTGCTTGGTAGAGTTTTGCAGAGGCTCAGAACTGTGCTCTCAGGGCTCTCTCCTAAGGCTTGAGGAGAAATTCAGAAAATGTGGAGGAAACTGAAGGAGAACTTGGATCATAAATACTTAACCTGGATCTGGGTCAACAGAAATAAGAACTAAGAGTTTGAGGGAAGAGACCACATAGGCTAAGAATGGTTCTAGTACTAATCATGGGCCATTGAACCATAAACTCTGTAGGGAGAGAGCATCTATGTTGGATTCCCTCACCACAGTATTTGTAGCACTTGGCCTATGGTAGGTGCTTAGTACATGTATGTTGAATGAATGAATGGATTAGTCTTCCATGTGGCTGTCTAGATTGGCAGCTAAATGGATTCATTACTAATGGGCTGAGTCTTTGGTTTCTATCCCTAGCCTCAGGCCTGAGGGTCAAATGGTGCCTGGTTGGTCAACAGTGCTGGAAAACACAGAAGCAGTTGCTGGAATCTGTTTCTAATACTTTCCTTACTAATGACATTTACTCAGCAGCAGCTGTGGTCCAGGGAACAGAAGGTTCTTGCCCAGTGGGCTTGCAGCCTAAGTGACAGAAAACAAAACAACCAACTGCAGCTTTTCTGTGTGGATGTGTGTTTTTCTATTAAAGGTGTGTTGTGTTCTGTGTGGGGCTTCTTGTTTGCTGTATAACAACAACAACACAAATTATTTCCTATTTTATAGCCATGCAAATGGAAGCCCAGATAGACATAAAGACACAGGGGACAGAACTGTGTTTACAGCCTAGCCTAGAGTACCATCTTTTCTTATGTGCATTCAGATGACTGCCACTCTATTCAGTCCAGGGTCTCACAGGAAAGAGGTATTTACCTCGTGGTTATCATGCCACTACAGTCACAACCCGGGTATCCAGTTGGGAAAAGATTCTTGGCAAGAAGCAGTTCTCCTGGGATTTGAAAGAAGGGAAATTGTGAATAGAGACGTGGACTTGCAGGGGGCCCTGAGCCCCACTCTTTACCCTCAAAGATAGATTCTAGGGCTGAGGTAAGGGCTCCACATTTCTTCTGCCTCATAGCCTGTCTGTCAGATAGTCCCCCCTCCTCTTTTATCATCCGGTACTGCAACTATAGTGATTTCTTGGGCAACAGCTCTTGTCATTAGGGGGCCACTGATGGGTGGTATGTTAGCTTTTCTTCTTTCCTGTCAGGGTGTCCAGTCTGGCAGAACAAGTAGATGATGCTATCTGGAGCTCTTAGCTTGTGACCCTCCCCCTGACTAGCCCTTCCTTAAGTCCCTGCCCAGACCTCCTAGCCCCCACTTCCCAAAGCAGTGTCCCAGATCGCCCCTACGCTGCCCTTCCAAAGATGTGACAGCTGCATCCAAAGTCCGCAGAATTTCAGAAAACAGCTTGGAATATTTTTTGGCAACGGGCCCCAGATAACTGAGTACGACTGCTGCCTACTCACTATGCCCAGGTCCACTGCCTCTTTTCCAGATAATAGCTGGGGTCGCAAGTGAGGAAAGGTCCAGTCAAAAGCAGCCACCCTCTCTTCACCATCGGAACCACCCGGTGAGCTTGCGCGTGCAGTTCCAACATTTTTTTTTCTTTTGAGGGGAAAGGGGCCCAGTGAGGGGAACTCCATAGAAGAAGAAAGGGTGAAAAACTGAAAAGCGGTTCCTTAATGGCTCGTCTGTCTAGCCTGCCTTCCCTGATTTTGGACCCAGCCTCGGTGTTCCCAGTTTTAAAGGCAGGGGGCAGCCTCGAACCCGGCCGCAGGACCTGGAGAAGAGAATACCACGCTTGCAGCTGTGGAGCGTGGGTAACCTGGGTCCCTAACCCCGGGAAAGCACGGCGTGGGCCGTACGTGCGACTTGCAGGTGAAGAGGGCTCGGCGAAGGGATCGCGAGCTTTGTGGTCCTGTAAAGAACTGCCACACGCCTAGCGGCAGCTTCAGATGCTATATTCTGGTTTTAGCGAAAGCCCCTTCTCTTTGAAGCCCCGCCTCCTGAAAGCTCCGCGCCAACCCCTGTAGCCACGCCCACCCCGTGGCCACGCCCGCACCGAGTTACGGAAAGCCACGTCTGTGAGCGATCCCCAGGCCCAGCAGCGCCCCCTGGACCTCGGAAGCCGCGTCCCGGCCGCGCCCCTGCGGGGACCGGGCGCACTCAGCAGTGGAGGTTGAGCACGCGGCAGGAACAGACGCTGCCGAAGAAGCGGCACTGGCAGGAGGCGCAGGGGTTGCAGCAGGCAGGCGCCGGCGGCTTGCAGCTGTCGCGGGTGGCCACGCAGGGCGCGGGCGGCGGGGGTCGGGGCGGCTTCACCTCCTTCATCGAAGCCTTTTTCTGTGGAGGAGACGCGGGGGCTGTGCGAGTCGTCCACGCCCGCCCTGTCCGTTCCTATCTCTGACTGGAAATTCCTCGGGTGGTGGAAGGCCTGGACCCGATCATGCACTGGGACATCCCAACAGTCTCCCGCTCCCCCAGATGGTTCCCCAAATCCTCCGCCTCCATCCCCACCCACACTTACATGGCTCAGTGCTGGCCCTTATCTTTCCTAAGGGACCCCACTTAGCTCCAGTTTTAACTGTGCACTGTTTTAGTCTTCTGGCTTCCGGGATACTCTCGATCCCTCTCAGTTCTGTTTTCTTAATACATTCGGAACCCCCGCCCCCACTCCCATTTTTCCTCCCATGCTGCAACCTTGGGCCAGACCCTCTGTCATTCTGGCACCTACAGTTTATCCTCCTGTGTGCTGAAGGGACCTCATGAAAGATTTAGGATTGCATCCTGTCCCTGCTTAAAAGCACTCCAGTAATTTCTCTTTGCACTTAGAGTAAAATACAAACTTTCTTTTGGTCCTTGCTCACTTCTCAGGTTGTTTACACCTCTGCCCCATTGGCCTTCTGTGACCCAACACAGCCAATAAAGTTCTTCTGTGGGACCTTTGAGCTTGTCTCCTAGCCTGGGAGCAGTCTTGCTGGCTCTCCAACACTAGCAGCTGTAGCCATGTGTGTGGCTGTTGAATATTATGTATAGCTGTCAACTGAGGAACCTATTTTTCTTTTCTTTTTTCTTTTTGGTACTGGGGATCAAACTCAGGATCTTGCACTTGCCAGGCAGGCACTTACGCCATTGAGCTAAACCCTCAGCCCCCTATTTTTCTATTTATTTACTTTAAAATTGAAGCAATGTAAAAATTTTCTCCTGTTAAACGCGTTTATTGTTTTGTTAAGACCACATTTCACTTTAGTGTAGTAATTGAGATGTGCTGTGTCAGCTATCCACAGACTTCAAAGACTTAGCTTGAAAAAGGAAAAAAATATTTCAATCACTTTTGAAATGCCTTACACGTTTTTGATTTTGCGGTATTGGATACTGAGCCCAGGGCTACGTGCGTGCTAGGCAAGCACTGTACACTCAACGGCATTTCTAACCCAAGACTGATTACATATTGAAATGTTAGTATTTTGAATATATTGGGTTAAATAAAATATTAAAAATAATTGTAACTTTTCTTAATACTTCTAAAAAATATGAGTAGTAGAAAATTTGAAATCACAAAAATATATATGGCACATATTGTTTCTGTTGGACGTTGATGCCCAAATCACTGCGGTTTTGTTTCTATGTGCTTCCTAGCAGTGTGGCGGTATGTGCCTGAGATCCCAGCGCTCTGGGAAGCTGAGGGAAGGACACAATTGAGTCCAGCCCCGGTAATTCAGCAAGTAGGAAGAATTTATCTCAAAAGTAAAGAATAAAAAAAAGACTGAGGATGTAACAGTGTGAGATCATTGAGTTCAATCCCCAGTACAGTCTAAAAACAAAAGCTTTCTTAGGCCTTCTCTGAAGATTCTTCCCTTTATCCTTCCATTCATGCTTTATTTCCTTACATTTATCATCTGAACTTACTTTACTCATTTATTTGCTATTTACCTGGGTTTCCTCCACAAGAATGTAAACTCCATGCGAACAGGGATATCTCTTTTGCTTCCTCCTCTATTCCCAGTGCCTCCTATGTAAATGTATTTGTCCCTTGTATTTTCCTGTCAGTAATCTGATTTGCTCATTCACTTTTACAGCCAACAAAACAAGCCTAGAGAGGAGCAGGGACTTCCTCAAGATCAGTGTGCCAGGTCTTATCTCCCAATACCTAGTGCAGGGCTTCCTGCTCTGGTTGCAGCTGATCTGATAGACTGAGGCACCCCAAAACAGGAATAATGTGTTCAACAGCACCTCGCTCTAGCTTCTCAAAGTGTGGGAACCTGTGTTATAATGTGTGACTTTAGGTTGCACCTGAATATCAAATGACCCTGAATCATACAGTAAGAAAGGATTTTTTCTGTTTCAACCTGAGAATTTAGTGTTGACGTGTCCTAAATGCTTCTTCAACACTTTCTATAGCATAATTCAGATTTGTACCCTTTGGCAAGCTATCATACCACCTAGTGAGATTTCACTATGCTTTATTTTCCCTTTTTTGTAGTTACCATCTATTTATAGTGATACTGGTTTTCTATCATAGTTTTTTTTTTTAAGTTTTGATTTTATTTATTTTTATTTTTGGTCAAGAATCAAACTCACAACCTCATGCGTATCAGGTAAGCACTTGAGCCACTGAGCTAAATCCTCAGCCCAAATTTTGATTTTAAATAGATAAAACAAAGATACGATAAAAGTTGTAGAGGTGGTTCTGAAAAATCTGAGATTTGAGAAACATCATATTCATCCAAAAGAATGAATGATGGTAAAATTTTTGCTATCAGAATCTGCTTCTTAGCAGATGAACTATTTTACTTGGTGAACTTTGGATCTTTAGGCTTCTGTGAAGGCTTAGCTCATGGCTCGAAGCCAGGAAGCCTTCAGGTAGTTTTCAGTACTTTGGCTAATGTAGGCCTAGAAAAATCTTTCTTTCTTTCTTTTTTTTTTTTTTTTTTTTTTTTTTTGTCTTTTTGAGACAGGGTGTGCAGTTCAGGCTGGCCTTGAGCTCACTTTGTAACCCACGCTGGTCTCGAACTCACAAAGATCCTCCTGCCTCTGCCTCCTGAGTGCTAGGATTTCAGGTGTGAGCCACCACGTCCGGCTTAGAAAATCTTTCATTTAATTTTAAACCACAGGTTGCAGGTCCACCCCTTTTTAAATCCAACCCATTCCCACAATGAGCACTCTCAGGCCTACCTTGGAAGATCGTTTCCTCTTTTCTGCTTCCTTTTTGCTGAATGTTTTGGATTTCTTGTTCAGTGCTTCAAAGAGAGACAGAAGAAGCAAAGCCAGATGTTTCTGGGACCCTGAGCTGTAGTGAAATAGGAGCAGAGGGGGCCCTGGGAAGTCTCTGGGTGGAAGAGGAGGAGGGGTTGGCTGGATGAATCACTTTGCGGGACTAAAGCCAGCAGGTTCTTGTTAGCCTAGCTGCAGAGCTGGAGCCAGGGACTGAAAGCAGTGTCCTCTGAGGGAGGGCAAACAGGAAATCCAAGGAGGTCCTAGGACCTGCCTAAGGCCTCTCTGAGAGGCCTGGTCCCTTGACTTTGATAGCTGTGGGCCACTCAGTCACCCCAAAGCCCCCTTTAGTCTTTTTTTTTTTTTTCTTTTGGTGGTACCAAGGATTAAACTCGCAACTTCATGCTTGCCAGGCAGGTGCTTAGGCCACTGAGCTACATTCTTGGCTGCTTTTGTACTCTCTCTACTTCTTTAGTCTTTAATCTGGCAGGTACAAAGGCACCGCGGCATTATGAAAATTGGCTCAGTGTCCTCTATTTCTTAGAGCTTGGAGCTGAGCAGATCTAATATGAATCCTGACTCTGCCATATAACAGCTATGTAGAATTAGGTAATCTACTTAACCTCTTTGAGATTCAGTTTTTTTTTTTTTCTGCAGAAAAGACTATACTACTCATTTTTTTGTTTGTTTTAGTTTTTTTTTTTTTTTTTTTTTTGTACTGGGAATCAAACTCAGGACCTCATGCTTGCTAGGTAGGCGCTGCACCACTGAGCTAAATCCCTGGCCCTGTTTTAGTTTTTTTGACACAGCCTTGCTATCTAGTGGAGGCTGGTCTTGAACTCACTGTACAGCCCAGGATGGCTTTGAACTTGTGAAAATCTTCTGCCTCAGCCTCTTGAGGGCTGGGATTGCAGATGTGTGCCATCATGCCTGGTTCTTTACTATTCATTTTGAGGAGATAAATGTAGTATATATTTTAAATGTGATATTTTAAAAAGTGAGATGTCTGGCAAAAGTTGGTGACAGAATGTGGATGCTCCTTCCCTTGCCTGCCTTTACTTCCCTGATATGTCTAGAAAATATCCTCTTTTTTCTAATGAGAACCAAGGCAATAAAAGGATATTTGGGATTAAATGCAGAATTCATCTGTGTTTGAAAAGGCTCTGCCAATTAAGAAGTGGATTTCAGGCAAGTTATTTAACTGTTATAAGCCTCAATTCTTTGTCAAACTTTCTTTCTTTCTTTTTTTCGGTACTGGGATCAAACTCACGACCTCGTGCTTGCCAGCAGGTACTTACACCACTGAGCTAAGTCCTGGCCAAGCCTCACTTGCTTCAAAATTATGAAATTAAAAACAAACAAACAAACAAACAAACAAACAGAGCCAGCTGGGTCTAATGTCATATATCTCTATTCCCAGCAATTTAGAAGACCATTAATGGTTGTTACAGTTTTTGCTAAGTCCTGGAATGGCAGAACTGGTTCATTCTAGATTTGGCTATATTCTGCAGCATTTCCTCCAGCATGTTATCTTTTTTTTTTTTTTTTTTTTTTTTGAGACAGGGTCTCACTATGTAGTTCAGGCTGGCCTTGAGCTCACTTTGTAGTCCAGGCTGGTCTCAAACTCGAAACAACCTTCCTGCCTCAGCCTCCTGAGTGCTGGGATTACAGGCATGAGCCACCACGCTCGGCCAGCATGTTATCATTGATGAGTTCTGTGACTTACTTAGTTTCAGAAGTGATAAGTTAAACCAAGTGCACCAAACATCTTAACTTGAGGCTAACATGCTAAGTTCTATTAGATTGATGGTATGCAAATTTTCCCAAACCAAATGAACCAAGGAACACTTAATGTATTTCCCTGGGACTATTTTCAGAATGAGCAAAGAGGCACCAGGAATATGGCCATGAAACCTAATAACAGCTTGGGGAACAGGCTTGACATTCACCCTTCATCCCTTCTGCCCAGTGGGCCAGATCCAGATACTTACCCACAATAGAGACTGAGGGGAAATCCACGAAGTTCTTGGAGGAGTTGCTCCTCAGGTATCTGTCATCTTTGGGCTTCTCCTCAAGTGGCAGGTGGCTGCAGGCAGTGAGGAAGTATAAGACCAGTAGAGTGGCAAGGAGCAGGCGGGTGGCATCCATCCCAAGAGGCCTGAATGGGACAGAGAAGGGGCCGGTAGCAGGTGGACCACAGGTAGTGGCAAGAGGATGTGCCTTCCTGTTTCTTTGGGTTTTTTTGGGTGGTTCTGTTGCTGACCCGTAAATGTTCAAGAAAAGATAGAGGATAGAGAAGGGTAGCGATGAAGGAAGAGAGAAAAGAAGAGGTGGGGAGAGGAAGAGAGAATATCAAGGGAGGGAGATTGAAGTAAAGAGAGAAAAATATGCTTTGCATTGGTCTCTGCTGAACAGAGGGCGGAGTACTGACTGTTGTATTTTAAAATCAGTGGCCCCAGGAGATCCTCGGCCTGGGAAGAGTTACTGAAAGGCCCCCCAACTGTGCCTGACAGTGGCAGAGATTTTACTAAGGTGCAGAGAATAAAGCTAATAAACTAAGGCACAGTGAAAACAAAGCAGTAATAAGTGGCTCCTTCAGACAAGAGTGTATATTGTCTTACACACCAGATTCCTACACACAAGGGAGACAAATGCAGGTACAGTTTGTGGCAGGAGACTGGCCCATGGGCGTAAAGTAACTGGGTTTATTTGCTAGCTAGCTAGAAAGGAGGCAGGTGGAGTTCAGAGTGGATGTCTTCCTTGAATGTCTGGGTTTGGCTCAGTTTCAATAGCATCCCATTCTCTGAGTATAGGATGCCCACTCCTTATCCTCTACTCTCCTATTTTCCTTCTAGTCTTGGAAAAACTGGGACTACTTTTTCAAGGTCCCTCCACCCTAGTCGTAAGGTATTGATTGGGGAGAAAAGAATAAAACAGTTTGCTTATACTGGTCTTCTCCATTCTTGGGCTTCTTTCACAGTAGCTTGGAAAATTTCTAGCTTCCTTCTCCCAGCCCTCAGCTTGATTAGAGTTAATTATCTGCATGTCTATTCCACTGCAGAAAGAGAGACCCCAAACAGCTGGTCTGTATTCTTATTACAAGGTTTTTGAAGCTGGGGAGGACAATTCTGACCTTTTGAAGTCCAGCTTCTACACCTTTCAGCCCCAGTACCCACTCTTCTTTCTTCAGATGTTCTTGTCATTGGACACTTGTCTTTTACAAATTGGCCACAAATTTTCTTTAAGAACTGGGCTGAAGGGCTGGGGATTTAGCTCAGCAGCATAAGTACCTGCCTTGCAAGCAGGCAGTCGTGAGTTCGATCCCTGGTACTGATAAAAATGAAAAAGGCAAAAAAAAAAAAAAAAAAAAAAAAGAACTGGGCTGAAGACCACACTATATCTAAGCTTATCAGATATGCCATAAGTTTTTCTTTTTTGTTTTAAACTAGTTTATAGGTTTCTTTTTCTTTTTTCTTGGTACTAGGGATTGAACTCATGACTGCCTGCTTGCAAGGCAGGCGCTTATGCCGTTGAGATAAATCCCCAGCCCCTATAGTTTTCTTCTAATCAACTTTCTTTTTCTTTCTTTCTTTCTTTCTTTCTTTCTTTCTTTCTTTCTTTCTTTCTATCAAACTCATGATCTTGTGCTTACAGGCAGGCATTTATGCCACCGAACTAAATCCCCAGCCCCTTATCAACTTTCTAAAGGATATTTTCCCTTGTCAGTTGCAGTGGAGTTACCTCCTATAAGTGGTTTAGGTCTAAAATCAGGGGAACAAACTGTACAGCGTGGCAAATCATGTCTGCTCCCACTCCAATTCTTTTTTCTTCCTCTTCTCCTTATTCCTTTCATTTTGCAGAATAAATTTACTTTCCTTGAGGATAAATATTGTATGAAAAAATTTTCTTTCTCTCACATCAGATCACAGATCAGCATGGCAGAAGACTCACACTGTGAGAGACGCATAGGAACTGAGATAGGCTGAGGGAATAGCAGCCCCCAGCCCCCAATTCTTCACCTCATAGCAGATACTCTTTGTGTGACGTGTTGACCAGAGTCACCTGTACTATTTAAATTGATTTTTCTTTTTCAATCAGTACCAGGGATTGAACTCACGACCATGCGCTTGCAAGGCAGGCGCTTAAGCCCTATGTACCATTTAAATTATACCTCTCTTAGCTTCACTTACTCACAAAGTACATAAAATGTCTTAGCATATGTTAAATATGTGCCCGATCTGGCTCCATCGTACTCTGTATCTTTGTCTGATGACCATCTTCCCTCAGTAAAGAATCATGGTATCCATGTTTGACTTTTTTTTTTCTTTTTGACTTTTCCCCCTTAATCTTTATATTCTTTCACCACATTTTGCTTTATGTTTCCTTCAGCTTCTTATTTTTCATTTCCTCTTCCTGAAGTCTGTTCCTCACTTAGAACAAATTTCACACTGACTCCGTCTCCCATTTAGTTCTTGCTTCGCAGACCTTGTCTACTCTCAATTGCCCTGATTGCATCCTCCAGGGCCCCATTCAGATTTGGGGTGTAGCTCATTTTCTCTTTGAGCACCAGGCCATCTCAAATGGCGCTCTCCCTTTTCTCAATTCCTCAAGCTCTTAAACTCAATACTGTATTGTTTACTATTTCATTGTTCTTTAATTGTTCATATGGGCTATTGTCATCTGTTAGGCATAGTGCTTTGTCTAAAGGAGGTAGGACAGTGTAGTTGAAAGAATACAGGCTCTGTGGTCACATATATGTGATTTCATTACTTACAACTACTTGCAAGTTATGTGAGGCTGTAGGGGAGAAAGAGCCCCTCTGCCCCCTCGTAATTCTTATATGGGCTCTTTGGCTGAATCTAGAAACAATTAATATGAAGATTGATTAACTGAAGGAAAGTATAAACATTTTATTAAATTTAGAGGTACACGAGAATCTTCATAAGAGTGAGGTCCAAAGAAATGCCCAAAGCATGATGCTTTTATACTTCTTAGACAAAGAACAATAAATTTGTGAAATAATGACAGGACAAATGACTATCTGCACTACAGTAGCATGTTTTATGGATGTTATTAGGAGGAATTGGGGTGAGGACATGTAAAAGTTAGTGGAAGATAAGAGTTACTTCTTAGTTTATTTCCTTGGGTTCATTGAAACCCCAATTACTAGCATGTGATAAGTCTATTTTTTGATATTGTTATGTGAAAGGCATCACTGCCAAAAGAGTCTTTATATTTGTTTGTTTTGCTCTTTTTGAGTCTTTACGTCTCGCTGCATGTAGGGAAAGAGAGGCCAAATGATCCTGTCAAAGCTACAATACTTCAAGTTATTTCAGCTTGAGTTAGTCAATATACCAGTTTGCCTATTTTGAGATAGCATGTCTTGATCTCTTTCAAGGACAAGTCATTAAATCATTCTGAGTCTCAGTTCATCATGAACAGTGGCCTCATCCTATTCATTATAGGAGGTGATCCAGTATTCTGAGAGTTAAAACAGGATCAGGACTCAGTAAATTCCTGGTATAAATATTAGTTACACACACACAGAAACATACACACACACACACATTTATTTTTTGGAGACAGGATTTGCTAAATTGCCCAGGCTGGCCTTGAACTTGTGATCCTCTTGCTCCGGCCTCCTGAGTAGATGGAATTATAGGTATAATCCCATGCCTGACTAGTTATCATTATTGATTGCAGTGTACATATGTTTACAGAAGTTGTACTGTAGCATTTAATACTTGCTCTAAAATTCACATTTGATTTTAATCCTGGAAAGAATCCTGGAAAATTCCTTCAAATTTAAGAAACTTAGAATGAAGATGAGGGCCAGCTATTTGGGTCTTTTCCTCTTCTTATGTAGTAGACATAGAGAACCTTGCTTCCACAAAGTTAAGCATTGGTGGAAGCAGGTTAGAAATTGGTCAGGCTGCTGTAAAGGGAGCCCATTTATTACACTGTGGCCTTAGTTATCATCTTGGTTACTTTTCTCTCATTGCTGGGACAAAATACCCAATGCCAATAATTAAGAAAGGAAAGGTTTATTTAACTCACAGTTTGTAGAGGTTTCAGTCCGTAATCAGTCATTTCCAAGACAGGGTGATGTGGCACAGGGGTAACAGTTCATGGTGGTAGAATACAGCAAAAGCAATAAGAGTAAAAAGGAGCACAAGAGAGGACTCTGTCCCTTATATTATATGTAGGCTAACCACCCTGGGGTGGGTGTAGCACTCACACCCATAATCCCAGCATTGGACCATGAATCAACCACAAACTCTAGAAGCTTACCCTCATGACTTCATGAGATTGTGGGGAGACAGACACAAACCATAACATTCTGCCCATGGTCCCCCAAAGACTCACGCACATCCTTTATGCAAAATGCATTTAATCCATAGCTAAGATCCTAACAGTTTCAGCAGTGCTGAAAAGTCCAAGTCCCGAGTCTCTTCTGGGATACTGCAAGCCCCTGTATAATCGAAAAGAAAATGAACACTTCCAAACATTCAGTGGCACAAGATAGACATTTCCGTACCAAAAGTTACAAATGGGGATACAAAGGAATGGGACAAAGTGAGTCCAAAATCCAGCAGGGCAAAGATTAAGTCTTGTAGTTACATATTCAGCATCCAAGGTAATCTGCAGCAAGTTGTGAGCTTCATGGTCCTCGACTTGGTCCACCCTTATGATGCTCTGGTGGTAATAGCTCATATGGCTTCTCTCTTAGGCTCACTCTTCTCAGTCCTTGCAACTTTCCTTAGATGACCCACATTCCTGATTTTTCCAAACTGCTGGGTTCTCCACTGAACCTTTGGCTTCACACTCACAGCTCCACACACTGCCCTCTCAGGGGCGTGCTGCCTGACCTTCTGTTGAAATCTGAGTGGAAGCCTTTTTAACTTCAGAACTCTTGCACTATGCAAGCACCTAAAACCAGCACCACACGGATGATGCCAAGGTCTGTTGCTAGCTGGAGCAGTAGCCAGGCTTTCCTATCTCTTTTGGCTGTAGGGGTTGAGTGCCTGGATCACTGGACACTCTGAATCAAATTGTGAGGAACAAATTCTCCATGCTGCTGCCATTCTGGAACGTGATGCTCTGAGGCTTTCATCTTAAAGCAGTCTTTCACTTTTATTGTTTTGAGGTTGCAAAGGGTAGAGACTGACTGCTTCTTGTGATGGCCAGCTCTATCTTTGCAGTCTATAGCTTTACTGGAGCTTATTTTCTTGCCAAATTCATAATACTTTAAATCATCCTGCTGGGTTCTTTGATTTGCAACATGGATATGCCTAGAAGCTCCCAACAATAGCCATGTCACTGCCTCAACATTCAACTGCCTTGAAATTTCTTCTGCCAGATTAATTAGTTTGCTGCCCTTAATCTCAGTCTTAGGCAAAAATCTCTGGACATGAGAAAAATGAAGACAAACTTTTTGCCAAGCCATAACACACATCATCTAGAGTCTAACAACAGCCAGCATAGTCCTTGCCACTGGAAACCTCCTGAGCTAGTCTTTACTGGAAGGATTTCTGACAGCCTTCCAGTTTTCTGAGCTCTGACCAGAATAAATAGCCTAAGGTGTTCCAGCACTACTCACTACTCTGTGTGTGTGTGTGTGTGTGTTTGAGATGGGGTCTCATTGTGCAGTTCAGGCTGGCCTTGAGCTCACTTTGTAGCCTAGGCTGGTCTCCAACTTGCAATGACCCTCCTACCTCAGCCTCATTAGTGCTGGGATTACAGAAATGCACACCACACCCAGCTTTCCAGCACTACTCTTTCAGGTATCATCTCTGAATGTTTCCAAACTCTCCCCACAAACCATTTCCAAAGGCTCTTGAACCACATGGTCACACACAGTCACAGCTATAGCCATCCTAATCCTCTGGTACCAAATTTTGTCTTGGCTAATTTTTTTCTCATTGTTGAGATAAAATATGCAATGCCCAAAATTAAGGAAGGAAAGGATTATTTAGCTCACATTTGTGGAGGTTTCACTCTATAATCAGCTGACTCCAAGGCAGGGTGGCTCATGGCAGAGGAGCAACAGTTCATGGTAGTAGAAGACAGCAAAAGAAACAAGAGCAAAAAGGGAGGAGTGTGAGAGAAAATTCTTTCTGTCCCCTATATTATATGGTAGGTAATCCACCCTATGGTGGGTGTAGCACTCATACCATAATCCTAGCATTGAACCATGAATCAATCACATACTCTAGAAACCTGCCCCAGTGACTTCAGGAGACTTTGGAGGTACATCCAGATACAAACCATAGCAGATATTTTACTTAATCTTACTGAGTTTCAATTTCTCTATCTGCAAAGAGGATAAGAATCTCAATGTATGCCTCAGAGGATTATTGAATATGTGAAGATAGCCTTTTAATAAAGCATCCAGCACAGTGTTTGATACATAGCATCAGTCAGGTTAGTGTTAGCCAAAGCTAAATCTCTCTCTATCTGGATTTCTCCTGCCTGTCTGATGTAGTCAGCAGAATGAACTGCTTCGTTCTCACTGATGGTGTCTTTATTTCCTTTTAGCCCTATAGGTTAAGCACTATGCTACATTCTTGGGCGACAAATTAAGGTCTAGATAGACATGTTAAGGATCCTCCAAGGGCTTGCATTCTCCCAGGAGAGACTCATCACTAAATAAGTAGTTATAACAAAGTGGATATAATGACATATTAAAATAGTGCAGGAGTTAGGGAAGCAAACAGGTTTAAGCTGGAGTTAGTGGTGTTAGAGAAGAGAATGGAGGAGGTGACTAGAAGATTGCAGACACTGAGAAGAATATACATGGAGATTCCTAACTCTGAGAGAGGAGTGCACCTCAGAAGACTAAAACAAGTTCAATAAGGCTGGCAAATAGATGTAAAGGGAGATAGAAGCAGACACCAGACCAGGATAGGTCTTGGGAATCATGGTGAGGAGACTAGACAATATCTTTGAGTCAATGGAAAATGAAGAATTTTTGTTTTTATTTTTATTTATTTGCATATTGGGGATTGAATCCATGTCTTTCTTTAATGATTGCTAAGCATGGACTCCATCAGTGAGCTATGTCTCAGTCCAAATGAAGAGTTTTAGATCTGGAAAAGACTTAATCATATCACACTGTAAAAAGATCCCTTGGCTACAGTGTGGGGATGAGGACAGTGAGACAGCAAAAAGAAAAACCAAATAAGAGGCTGCTGCTGAATTCCTGTCATTCTTCTGCTGTGCTCATCCTCATAACAAAAGAAAAGCAAACTCTATAGACTCAGAAGTGTACCAAGGCCATCCCCACCTGCCTTCCGCAGTCCTTTCCAACTTATTTTTTTCAGCATTCACTAGAATTTAGTGATTGATCTGATATAGGGAAATATAAATTCTAGCCAAGCTTGAGCAGGTCCTGATCCGCATATGAAGCTTAGCCTTTCCCACTTCTTAAGCTTATCCAGTTCCTAAACCTGATCAAGTATTCAGCTAGATATTGAATATTTATTTATCTATCATTTCTTAATGTTTATCAAAGCTGAATCTGTAGCCTTAGCGATTGTAATATTCATTTTTGCGCTTTCCATATTTTGGGATAGTTTATGAGTTAAGAATGGTTTTTACTTACTGTCTTAGTTACTTTTTACTCATCACTGAGACAAAATACCTGATGCCAAAAGTTGGAAAAGAAAGGTTTATTACAGTTTTTGGAAGTTTTAGTCCATACTCAGTTGGCTCCAAGACAGGCTGGCATGGCGAGGCGGCAGTTTATGGAGGTTGCAAACAGCAAGGCAGAAACCAGCAAAAGAGCGAGACACACCTTCTTCCTGCCATTACATTACATCCTGACTCCACCCCTAGGCCAGTGTAGCACTCACACTCCCAATCCAAGCGCTAGACAATGAACCAATCACAAATGCACAATGCAAATGCATGAGGCCTGGGGGCCACTGACATAAACCAAGACATTTCATCCCTGGCTCCCAGGACTCATGTACATCTTTTATATAAAAGACATTTAGTCTTTCTCTAAGAGTTGCCAAAGTCTTAATAGTCTTAGTGATTGATCTGATCAGCATTGCTGAACAGTCTAAGTCTCAAGTCTCCTCTAAAATCTATAGCAAACTCTTACCTGTAACCCCCTGTACAAATGAAACAAGTTTAAACATTTCTGAAATGCAAAGACACAAGATAAACATTACCATTCCAAAAGTTACAAACAGGGGAATATAAAGCATTGGAAACAAAGAAAGTCTAACATCCAGCCGGGTGAACATTAAGTCCTAGAGTTGTATGCCCAGCATTTGAAGCAATCTGGTTTCAAGCCCTAAAAGGCTTGGGTGATTCCACCCCCCTGGCACTTTCAGGGATTTCAGCTCCTGCAGCTTTTCTCTTAAATCTTCTCTGCTCACTTTTTGTAGCTTTCCTTAGATCACCAATGTTTGTGGCTTTTCCAAACTTTTGGGGTCTCCATTGCACCTTTGTATCTTTATAAATTACCCTCTCAGGGGCACACTGCTTGGCCTCCCAGATCCTTTGCAATCGAGGTGGAAGCCATTTTACCCTCAGAATTTGTGCATTTTTCTTACACCGAAAATCAGCACCATGCGGATGCCGCCAAGGTTTGCTGCCATCTGGAGCAGTAGCCAGGCTTTTTTCTCTCTTGGCTGTAGGGATCGATTCCCTGGATTGTTGGGCTCTGTGAATCTGATTGTGAAGAAAAGCTTCTCTATGTTGCTGCCATTTTGGAACCTCATGTGTCCTCCGTTGCCATTCTGGAGCATGGTGCTCTGTAGCTTTTTTCTCTGAGCAAATTCTTTCACTTCTGCAGTTTTGAGGCTGCAAAGGTTGGGACCTGCTGCTTTTTGATTTGTTTGTTTTGTTTTTTGTCTTTTTCCTTTTTTTTTTATCAGTACCAGGGATCGAACTCACGACTGCCTGCTTGCAAGGCAGGCGCTTATGCCTCTGAGCTAAATCCCCAGCCCCAACCACAAGCCATTTTCAAAGCCTCTCAAAAAACATGGTCAGGCGTAGTCACAGCAAATGACCCCACTCTCGGTACCAAATTCTGTCTTAGTTACTCTTTACTCATCACTGAGACAAAATACCTGATGCCAAAAGTTGGGAGAGGAAAGGTTTATTTCATACAGTTTTTGGAGGGTTTAGTCCATACTCAGTTGGCTCCAAGACAGGCTGTGGGGCAGCAGTTCATAGCAGCTGCAA